GTCATAAATTTCATTAATGAATCATAGAAGCGTATTGTAAAAATGACAAATTACATACTGATAAGTCCACGAAAAAATAGATAATGGTAACAATGTAGCTATTGGACGGTTAATCGAATGTTCATACGTTTATTCTTACAATAAATAGGAATGATAAGCAAAGAGTAAATGTATTTGGAATATTTGGACTCTTAAACAAATATTCTAGTAAATTTCTACTAAGTCATACTATATGTCATCATCTTGCTGACTTAGTTTTTCATCAAGTTTCAATAAATCGCAGTTTGGTTCAACGTTTAGTTGAAAATGGAACTTATACGAAACAAATTATATCCATAATTTTTATCATAATATTGTTCGACGTACTATTTAATATGAACACAAATCTTTCTCCATTATGCATGATCATATATTGCTAATAAATGTCTCGCTGTAGATGTTGCATTAATTATATGCAATGAAAAGGTAAACAATCTTGAAATATTTACTGCAAAAGTATCAGAACACCTGCTCGTGCAATTTTTAATCATACAGTTTATCAATTCCTTTAAAAAGATCAAATCGTTGTGTTTTTATTCGTAATTCTTGCTTAATAAGTCTACACTTCAAGAACTTTCAAATGTAGATTTCAAGAACGCAATAATGAATCATATGCAAATTCACCGTCGTTAACTTTCCCTGATAGTACCGCGATTATTTACTTCCGTTTACGGAATTCCTCCAAATAAACTGAGCCTTGAACACGAATAAATTAACATGTAATTTGTACTGGTAATAAGAATCATTATATAACAAATGACTAATAATATGAGTGGTCGAACAGAATATAACAATGAAACAAAAATAAAGAAGAAAAATTTTCTTCACTTCAGTTGTATTTCTTACCTGAATATTAGGATAAAATAATAAATTAATTTATTCCTCGATTTACTGAAGCTTAATCATAGAGGATAATTGAATTTCCTCGATGATATTACGGTACAAAAAACAAAGACTAAAGACACAATAAAAATAACTTTAAATATACAGAATAAAAAACAATTCTTTATTTCCACGTTATCCTATTTCTGATTATTACAACGTGCACCAGATATTAGCAGTAGTTGGGAAGAGATAAAACGTTACAGAAGATTATGATGACACTCATATATTGTGCCATCGATATAAAAAACAATATCAGACGTTAGTTAAACACGAGAGTACAAAGTATTGGACGTTTGTAATTCCCGATAGTTCATATCGAGATCCTTCCGATTGGCATTGGCATTGGAACGATAATAAGAGGACGCTTGCATAGGAGTGGCTGGTTATTAAACGCGCCTTTGTTACTCGATGCCATTCACCGGTGGATTAGAAGTCAGCGACATGTGGTTATTGTGGTTTTGTTGATGACTCTGGACGTGTGTGACTTTAGGAACGCTCGGTCGACCGGCTAGGAAAGCTGCAAGTTGCTCCTGTGAAAATATTATCAAACTCAGAAATTAATAACCAATGAGAATATATTTATATAGCCCAGTTATTAAACGTATTGATAAATGAAATATTTTTATATTTTTACGTAGCACAATAACACAGTTTTAATAATATCAGTACCATGCTAAAGATTAATTTGTGTTCATTTTCTGTAATTAAAATAATACGTTATCCATATGTTTATTCATATATAATTACAAAGAAAATAGTTCATAAGGTATTGGTACAATACATTAATTGAACAATTTTATATAAAATTTTTTACTGCAATATATATGTTTTCAAACGTAATACTTGTATAAATTGATTAAAAGATTTTAAACGTCTTGAAATTACGTGCAGCAATACACTTCAGAATTAGACAAATTGGTAGAACTCCAATAAATGAAATGATTTATGGGGGACAAAATAATTAACTTCTACATACCAATAAATGATTTGTAGTCGAACTAAGTCTCTGAATGATCGCGCGTATCGTGGACATTCGTGCTTTCACAGCATCCTTCTTACCGATCACTGGTATCATCTTCAAAAGACCGCGAGAAATAATCAGATTCAAAAAATGAACAATTTTACTGCAGTTGTGATTGAAGTAATAGATGAATTTCTTAATAAAAACCTGTAATGAAGCGTTTGCGACTGCGAGCAATTGATGGGACACTCGAACGAGAACTCGGCCGAGGTCACGCGGTGTTCTTTTAGCTAATGTTGCAGTGCCATTTACAAGATGAACAATGCGGCGCGCAGATTCACGTGTCAACAGAACCAACAATTGTTCCAACGTGGCTGGACGAGCTTGATTCTCCGGCTCCGGTAAACTTAATGTTGCCCATAGCTCCTTTGCTTTCTGATATGCTAATTTCGGATCTGTTGCTAACTGTAATACATAAATTTCCTCATTTTTTAAATATTTTTCCTTATTTTCGGTTCTGTTCTATCGAGGCTGGGTTAATTTTTCTATTCGGAGCTGTCCTTTATAGTAATGCATAAATTTCTTCATTTCATGCATCTTTCTTTCTTATTTTTGTTTATACTATATTGAATCATTACATAAATAATGCGGTTCTTTCTCATATATTTTATTTTTAAAAATTGTTATAAACAAAACTTTTTTTAATATAATCACAATGTATATATAAATAGATAATCTATAGGTAATGGACTAGAATATATTATAAATCAAAGAATGTTTTGTTTATCTTAATTCTGACTAACAATAAAAGTTAACTAAAATCGCATTGTTTATAGCATGATCCGATACGTTTTGATTCTTCAAAAAGAATTGTTTTCCTTGTAAATTTTCTTTATTGTTTATAGAGATATGGAGGTTTCAATTCAATTGTTTACTATTTCAAGATTTTTATTAAATTTTGAATAAAGTAGGAGCTTGATTACATTTAATTGTTTTTATTGTGCGGAATTTTGAACAATTGCATATGATATAAATGTGTTTATGTTGTCCACAACATTAATCATCAATCGATCAACAAACAATTAACGACTCCTTAACGGTTTTCCAGAATTCTTGTTAACTTATGTGTTCATGGTAAATGAAACTTACCAGTTCCACAACGTATAAAAGTACATGAATGCATTCTGTACCCTGCTCCTTCAAGGCACGAGCTTCTGCTAATGTACGACGCGTCAGTCTCTTCTGTAGTTTTCTCGAGAATCTGGCACCATGCTTAATAGTTCGAGTAGTCTTGCTTACAGGTTCTGCGGGGTTACCATCTGGAAAATTATTTTCGTTAGACAATTTTAATTATTTTATATAAATTTGAAAACATTTTTGAAGAAGCTACAAAACTAACTAATATACATATCAAACTAATTATATTATATATATATATATAATTTAAAAGAAAGAATCACAAGTGTAAATATTGTAATTTGATTAACACGAACTTCTAAATGATTTCTTAATGAGTTAAATTGAAATTATGTCAGTATCATGTTGAATATTGTGCATAAATATATTTTACAAATTACTAACAGTAATACAAAAGAAATTTATTTACCGTCTACTTTATCGGCGGGATCAGCAGGCAAATAATGATCAACATATTTGTCAGCAGCGATCAAAGCATCGTTTAATCTATCAGCCGCGGCGTTCGCTGCCTGACTTCCTATCTGTTTTACACTTCCGGCTCGCATCAGGACAGGCTTAAAGATTTTATTGTTCACGTATTCTTTCGCGTTGCTGTACATCTTAATAAAATACAAAATTAGTTAACATTCAAACGCAAAACGTCCAGTAACAATATGGTTAACTGTGAAGTAAATTACAATCTAGATCAAAATACTTCCTAACGCAGTTTCTTTTCAATTCTGCAGTTTCTAGTCATTGCCGTGTTATAGAAAAATTAAAAATTCTAATTCTAATTATTTAAAAAATATAATTATAGAAATACAATTACAATAGAAAAAGGTTTTTTTCTATTCCATGAACTTACAAGATGAGGAGGTAGATGAACAGACGGCACTCTTTGCTCAACGATGTCGATGCCTTTGCAGAGGAGCTGATCGATTGTCGTGATGGGGCCATTTAACGCATAAATCGCTGGTTTCGCGGATGCTGTAGCGATCGCTAATGACTGTTCAGCAGTGTCCAAACTCCAACTCATTAAAGAGTTTGAACGCTACGCATTGAATGCAAAAAAATTTATTAAATGGTCATGAATGTTCATTTTAAATGAAAATTATTAAATTATACAAACATTTATTTCAAATGAAAATTTTCAAAAAATTGACAATTGAATTGTAATCGTTGATATCATAATTATTCGAAACACATGAATTAAAATAAAACTTTTGCTTCTATGCATGAAAGATATTTAATTAATATAATATTGCCTGTTAGTAAGATTGTTCTTGCAATTACACTTTTGCTTCTTAATATAGTTTCCAGTGACATGTATGAACTGAAGAAAAAACAATATTGCGCATGCATAAAATGAAACAATAGTTACTTTGTACATCGTTAGACGTGAAATGTAACATGTTAATGGATAATTCTCCTTCATCGTTTAGTTACAAACATAAAAGTGTGTTCAGAAGAGTAGGTATTAGCGAGTGAAAGGTAAGAGAAAGCAATTATTCAAGGAAGTGTTAACCTAATCAAATATTGTGTACAGCCGGTTCTTACCTTTATCATATCATACACGTTACTAGCAATATGTATACTGTTCTCCACGATGGGAAGATTTGTAATCCTGATGACAAATTCGAATTGCGGCAAATCTGAGTGCCGCTTTTTCACGTTTGGCCGCGCCATTTGTAAAATCGTCGCTATAACAGAATTAACTCGTTAGATGGAGATTTTCCTTAGATTTAAGTAACAAAGATTGCTTTTATTGATTTTAAACGCAGTACCACGTACAATCGACTATAATTAATTTACATCTTTTTAATATCGAAAAGATTACTCTTTAATAATATTTTCGTATTTGACTATTGAAATTATTACTTTAGAAATTTTAGTTTTATTGTATTTGATTACTTTAGATGAACATAAGTTTCTATAATAATCTTCTAATAACTCTGATAAGTTTTATTGTAATAATAATAATAATTGCATTTTAAATGTATGGCACAGGTATTGAAGGATATAAAACAGAGCAACCTAATGTGAATTTATATAAGAATTACAATTTTGTAATCATTCTATTGTTCTTATTTCGAATTATTTGATACGGTAATCCAAGTTCAATAACTTGTGCAAGAATGTGAGTTTGTAGTACAGATTACGCGAGAAATTTCCATATAAATTGTCCAGAACGCTGAAAGCGATAAATACTGAGAAATGTTTTCATTTTGAAAGTTATGGCTTTACTTTGGTAGAAAGGCGGAGGGAGAGTATGCAGATGCGTGAAGCCGCTGATTGCTGCAGTACTGATTTTTTCATTTCTGTTTCTATGGACAGATTAACTTTCTCTAGAGAAACTCACTGTTAAGGAAAGTTTTCAGTAATATTCTTTGTACGTGTCGAATCTATGTAAGCTTATGGCTGCATGTAATCATAATGAAATAAAAAATTTGCGTATCTTATAATGTATATGTAACTATTCTCCACTGTCGTTCATGCAAAATATGATCAGTGGACTAGAAGTTTCTTCTTCATTTAATTCTAATAATTAATTCTTCTAAATAAAAATAAATAATATTCAGGAAATGTAAGTATAGAACAAAAATATTATTAATTTTTGTTGACGTATACGTTTTTTTTTATATTCTACGAATTCATAAATATAATAAAGTAATAGACATTTTTTTATTCTAGTTATGTGTTAGAAATGGTTTTATTCTTAAATAAATAAAATAGTTTGAATTATGCAAAGGTTCTGTCCTTTTTTATGCAATGCAGAAGACAGGACTGTATAAAGTTTGAGCTAAATATCCGAAACAATTACATTGTAATAGAAACCGTAGGTTATATAGCCTCGGACGATTTATCAGCAGATGTGAAGATAGCACTACGTATGTACATACATTTTAGTGCGTGGTTTTGAGCGTAAACACGAACGAATTATGTAATCAGGAAGACTACAGATTGGGAATGTGAAATATAAACTGTCATGGAAATTTCTAACGTCGAGCTGATAATTATTTAATTGGATAGATACGACAGACAAAGTAATTGAAACATTTATTATTGAAGTAACGTACGAGAATATTATGTTGACAAGAAAACTCCTTCTAAATACAATGCTTAAAAAAAATCTTTATTCAAAAAAGATTTATTCGTTATTAATAATTATGTGTAATTAATTAAGTGCAATTTAATTACTTATTGAGTGAAAAATATATTTATTATTAACTTGTTATGTAAGATATTTTTTTAAAATAATTGATTATAAGCTAAATATATATGATACCATTTTATACTTCAAATGAATAATATTTAAACACATATAAGTAAAGTAGACTTATGATTTCAGATTCCTTCTAATGTTTTTGAGATTTTCATTTATAGGAAAATGTAGTAGACAAAAATAAGCACGTAGCCCATCGTGTCACGTGTGTGACGTAGAATACTCCAAAGAGAATGGTCGCGTCACGCGTGTCACGCTGGCTGCGATCGAATTAAATAAACTGGTCATTAGATTATAATTTGATTATTATTTTAAACGTTCGATAACTCGCGTCAGCAGTACGCTATTTTTAGAATAGATCGACTGTTTTGAAATCAATCGATGACTAATTGTAAGCGATAACGGTCACTTAACTATTACTTTCTTCTATTACGATAACATTGGTGAATGAATTATTATATAGATTAATACATCAAATTCTAAAAAATGCACAATAAATAAATGTGGTAAAATATGTACAAAAAATTAGTAATAATTTTATCTTTTCTAGAACATGACAGAAAAATTTGCTTGAATACCAATTTTTATAAATTAATTCATCAAAATATACATGTCCATAAATATCTGCAGTTTAATAAGTTACAAAAAAATTCATGCAGAATTCAATTAGAAAATTTTAATGCACACTATGCGCGAGTTGCCATATGTTTGTAACGAAAGTAACGATCTGCCGCAAGAAGTTGATAAATAGTGATGTAGGTAGGTACAATATTCATTAAGAAACCTTCTGTTTTATTTTACCAAGAATTTCAATGTATCAAAAATACCTTTTCCGAAAGTGTTGTTCACCATTATTTAACAATAATAACATAATGAATAGTGTGTCTTTTATTAACTATTACATACTAACGTAAATAAATTCGAGTATGAATATGAACACGTGAAACCCCGTTATTTCATCGCATTATGAAATGAATCAAACAAAAAAGAAAGCGTTGAACAAATTCGAACGTATTTCTGTTACAACCCAATATATTTTCTGCATTGCTAAACTTCATCTTTCCAGCAGAAACATGAGGCTTCTCACTGAAGCCTCTCCGCACACGCAAATCAATACATAGTTCTCATTCATGTTGACAAACGGATGACACGCCTAAATGTGCACGCATTGAGATAAGTCCGCTTTTAAACCCAGGTCGATACCCTAATCGGTATCACTGTTTATCGAAGCCACCAACATTGGACATCGCGAACAAATATCTTGCTACTCGCGAGATTCTGGACGAACATCCTTGAATGTCCAAGAGGATCAAATTTATTCTAAACGCGTACGGTTTCGACGCGAGAAAGAAGTGAATCCGCGCGCGACGAGTGTGGAGAATGACATGAATTCGTGAAAAGTCGAAGGTGTAATTGAAAATGTGCGTGAGAATGGCGCGTAACGGCTACCTTGATGAGTGAACATTTACCTCAGAACGTAGGGACGTTGCGTAGGGGTGGCCAGCGACTGAAGAGTTTGATCACGATGGGATTATATAACGTGGCAGAACGCGAAGTCGAGATGGTACGAGAGAAAAGTTGGTGTTTCGCCGAAGAACATGCCGCTGACTGCACATCGCGAGATGCGAAATGGTATCTCATCGGCGTGACCTATGACACGACGATACAGTCGCGACGACTATGTTGTCTGTCGCGGATGAAACTTTTCATAGCTGCCCCGTCTCCTGGTTCAATATCGCCGATAGAATTGTCTATAAAAATTGGATTGGTAAGATTGCTGGCAGCCGGAGTCCATCTTTATCAAACGGACATTCTTTTTTTCTTTAAATAAAACGTTCATGGAATATCTTCGTATCCCTGTTTCAAACATTTCGGCCTTTCGCTTTGGCAACTATAATTGCGATTGACTATAGATTACCTTAAAATATGCGACATTATAAAAATGTTCTTTTTCATTGGGAAGTTTTATCACGTTGGTTTGTTTTAGATTTTAGCGAAATTGATCATTGTTATTTTAAACAGTTCTGCTTTTAGTAGAAATTATATAATTTGTTGGTTTTATTTCATTGGGATATAAATGTAAAAGCAACATATAAATGTAGAAGCAACATAGAAAATTACGATGGGAAAGAATATTATGCGGAAATTCGAAATTATCATCAAGAGACATCCTTAATTGCTATGCAAAGTCCACGACAGTGACGATCGATTCAGTAATGTAGTAATAAGGTATATACATATGATCAGAAAAACCTACGACTTACTTTTTCACACGACACGTTGCTCAGTTTATCGCGATTCTGGCGTGTAAACTGGATAAATACCTTCGTGATAAATGGTATGTTGTTGTCTGAACCCATTTTCTGTGACATCGTGAACATGTAATAATTTTAGCAACAATTAATTCGGGATAATATTATATGAATATTATTTAAAAATAACTTACATATTTCGCTACCCTAACGTCGTTTTATAATTTTTATAATATTCATCGTCAGCCTCTGAAAATTCAATACACCTATGTTATATTTGTAACAGACGTAATATGAACATTATTTGAAATTATATTTATTATTATGTAATGTTTAATACTCGTATGTATGAAATTATTATAAAGTATACTGTTCATAGGGAATTGAAAATGTGAAAATACTGCAATGCGTAGAAATGAACATTAAATGATGCATTGTGTAAATAGCTCTTTCTAAACAGTTAAACAGTTAAACAGTATTAATATAATCCTATACTGTGAATGACTTCCGTTATAATAGAAGGAGTCAATATAATGAACGTTTTTTTATTATAATATAGTATATTACAGGATTTAGTCTAACGAGATGCAACCATTGGTAAGTTAGGGGTCTGCGTTCTCAATTTATCAATTCGAAGCTAATGTTGTTGATAATGAGGAAGAGAGACGAGTTATTAAATAAATTGTATACGGGATAATTACTTGGTACAGTAAACGATCTGTATCTTATTTGCATAAAGTGAAGCAATCATTTTTATTTTTTAAAATACGCATTGATACGATTATTAATTGTGTAAATATATACATTCTGAATGATTATTCAATTTCTGAATAAATATTTATCAATATATTATTTACGATATAAGAATTCATTACAATTCAATGAACAATTATAAAAATGATTAATTCGAAAAATCACGTGAGCTAACATGTGCATCTAACGTCGTAAAAAGATTTGTTGGAGAAGTTATAATAAAGCACAGTCAGTCGATGATACCTATATTTAGTAAAAGATATCGCAACTTTGCGTGTTCGATTAATTATTTAAGAGGATAGTCGTCGGGCACGTTATCCCTCAGTTATTTTTTAATTTATCGCAGTTACAAGACATTTCCACGAGAAAATAGATCAGGGTAAAGCGTTTCATTGCGTTTCATTTCCTTTATTGCCTTGGTAACACGAACCAAGCGATAAACTTAATGTGATTTTAATTTTTTGTTGCTCTCACCGCTTCGCTCAATTAATATCTTACTCGTTCGCGGTCAACGTAATACGCGCCAAAGTTTGAAAATTTCCATTAGAAAGTTTCCATCGGATCCTTCCAGAACCAATTAACTTATCGATATATGAAAATCCCATCAATGAAGTAACCATTATATTCTTAGCCTACAGAGTGTACTATACGTATGGTATATGTTAACAATAAAAGTATTTATAATATCGCTTTTATTTTGTTTACTTTTCAAACATTTTTTTTTTTCGAATTTTCGAATACCATAATTAGCTAAAACCATTTTTTAATTACATTGGCATACATTTTCACAGGAATCTCAAATTTAGAAATCTAATGAATAGACTTATTGTTACGTTATCGTAATACACAGAAGGGTTTTCGTGAAAATGGTTGCATTCTTGTTCCGATCGGAGAATGACACAGCGAAATGTTTGTGTAAAAAACCACTTAATTGTTGCTATACGGATTTTGAGGACTTTTTGTACAAAGTTCGGTTTCGCAACGTTTGCGAAAGTTGTGCGTTCGTAGAGTTCTCTCTGTCAAGAGGTCTCGTAGCGTTCTGTTTGGTTCTCGTAGTGTCTTATTTTATGTAGACTTGGATTTTTTAGGATTGGCCAATCACAGTTTTGCGTGGAAGAAAATTGTGTTTTGTTATTGGTCGCGGGTCTGTCTATTTTGTGTCTTAAAGTGGGAAATTGTTAAACGTCTACGTTCGTTTCGTCATTATCATGATTTATATATAACTATTTGACAGGTTGCAGTTTATCGCTGCGTCGCACGCGGCGTCCGAATGTTTTATGGTGGAAAAGGACACCATGCTCTATCTCAAAATGTGACAACGTTGCCCGACTTTCTGTTGTCGCATGTGACTCCCCACCAAAATACACGGTCAGAAGCGGACTACCTCCGATGGTTCTTCTTTCATAAAACAGACCATAATTATTTGTTAACATAATTACCACATGCTTCAATACGCTTGGTACAACCACTTACATAAAGATTCATGGTAAAAAGGTAATGAACTATTAAAGACAGAATACATACTTACCTGAAAACTTTGAAGAAAAATTGAAGAAGGAAAAAGTGAAGAAAAATTCATACAACTTTTCCAAAACATATGGAAATGTTGCGAGAAATTTGAAGAGTAAACCACGTAGTCGAAAAATGTCTAACTTTGGGGATATCTCAGCACTTTCCGAGTGAACCAAGGAAAAAAAATTGTAGGACATTCGTCCTTACATATTCAGCTACCTCAAGCAGCAAACATTATTCGGCCTGGGTGAAATTTTTAAAATGACCTTTGGGCCGCTCAGATCGGGCGAGTACCCCACTGTGCGTCGCGGCGAAACGAAACCAATGCCAATGCTCGTATTGTCCTGTTCTGACGAGATGGTAGATTACTCATGAGTGAAAAAGTCCAAGCAGCAAGACGACTTTTCTACTTACCGTGTTCGCTCCGCCTCGGTCTTCGATGCATGGTTATTATTGACGTACGACAATAACAAAGGATGAAAATGAGACCGAATGCGATAGAGTGAGACGGAAGTATAGAGAATTTTGTTTATTATCGTTACGTCTTACTACATCGCATTCGGGTTTGCTTCCGTCCTCTGTTATTGCCGAGTGCTAATAATGACCATGCATCAAAACTCAAGGCGGCCCGAACATTGTGAGTGGAAATGACCCCTTGCCCCTGTGCACTTTTAGCTTGGTAGGTGATGGAGTTAACGTGAGAGGCGTTACTGACATGATCTCAGCCGGCCTGTAGCTCAAAAGTAAAAAGGGACAAGGGGATTCGGCCACACGCTCCACCTCAACTCGTGGTTCGGCCAGTAACAAAGACGTATCGGAACTAATTCCACCATTACTATCGGGCTGAGTGCCGCGAGTGGACGTCTTCCCTTGCCCCTCTTCACTTTCAAGCCACTGGCCCGCTGAGATTATGTGAGTAACGCACTGTACAGTATCCTTGTGCGTCCCTTTTGCAGTTTGCTCAGGAACTGAACAGGCCCTTCGAAGTCACAGTCGAAACCTTTGCCTTTTTCTCTAGCCGTACACAACATCGAAGTTATATATCCGGAAAATTTCTCTTTTTCTTAATATTACACTATATTTCTTTTAGGCATGACCAATGCTTAATTTGTGCATCCGGTAAAAATATTCCTCTTTTTCAAAACTCGGGGACTGCAGCGATAGAAGTCCGAGAAAACAGGACCCAAGGAGGGCTTTTCAATTTCGAATGCTTATTAATAATCGGTAACCTGTTGAAATCATGCTGGTTTAAAACAAAAGAAATCAGAACAACATTACGAGATTCCCTTAGACTTTAATTTAAAAATTACAAAGTCTTGCAAGTGAAAACATACACTCCTGCGCGATAACGAAAACCATATTGGTAATTACTGATTGCCTCGATCGGGAGTGGTAGATAAAGTGTTAAAATGTATAATTCTTATAAAAATTGTAACAATGGAATTTTTCCCAGTTTCTTCATATATTTATTGCAGTATTCAAGTGAAACTATTTAGTTTCACAATAATTTTGATTATTTAGCACTTTGATGATACCAATAATTGCTGAACAAAAAATCTAATACCCGCCATTTTTTCGGGTACAGTAGTCTTAGTGTTAAAAACAGGCGAATTTCGTACGACCTATGGAACAAAGAATTTCGTTACAGGTAAACGACACAGGTAAATGAAATCGAAACGAAGCGCATCCATTGTATAATCACATTTATTGTCTTGCGCTACAATTTTCATGATTTAGGAAAGCTCTTCTCGTACTCGCGCACACGAACGCGCATATACAATGAAATACTTCTATATCGCGACACAAAGGGTGACCCGCGCGATCGCGTGCGATCGAATAAATATGCGTCTGAATACCAAATGCAGTGTCGATCGAAATAGTTCTCTTAATGGTCGAATTCGTAACACCCGTTCTCTGTACAAAGCTCCTGCGGTACTACCGTAAAAAAAGAAAGAATGAAATTATATCTGGGGTAACACAGTTATATGTATCTACTTAATCGAGGGGATTGCACTTCGATGCGCAGCCGGGGCCGCCGGAGCGTTCAGGACTTCGGAGAGTCGTTCGGAAGACACGTTCCGACACCGAGGACACGATCTAGTCCTGTTCAGTCGAGGTTTCTACTCGATTGATGAGCTGAATTGTTTGCCGAGTGCTCGCCGATTTTGTCTGTCGGTTGCGTAGACGACTGCGCCACCGCGACGTTCTAATCAATTTTTATCGTTCTCCTCGTCTGTTGAATCAGGCGGAGCAAATCGCCTTTATGGACGCGCAGCAGCGTTTTTTCACAGATTGCAAATGGCACAGCCATGTTCTCAGCTTCTCAATCAGCTCCGCGCAATCTGACCCCACGTCCGTGCACTCATCGTCCTCTGGTTCTGCAAAGAGATCGTGGGACTGAGTAGACCGTTAATGACGACGATGTAGGCGGTTTTAGAAGCAGGGAGAAGCAATTGATTGTAACGTTGGAGACTCAAGATTACTTTGTCTACTGTGAATGGTTTTATTGGATGATGAAAGGAGTGTGTGCTATTATGATTAGGTCACATAAAAGTATGTACAGCTATATAACAATATGTAGAGTTCCAGGTATTTTATTAACTAACCGAAAATGTATTTTTCCGTTTTCTGTTTAGTATTTTTATTATTCTTCTTCTAAAGGAATAGTACCTTATTTTACCTTATGAACCTACAATTTTTCGGTTATATTTTATCTACCATACGAGTTAGACATCATTTCTTTTATTTACTGTATGATAATAATATTGTATAATTTATAAACTGCAATACATATAAAGGAGTATCAGCAAATGTAAAGTATATTTCAAGCATGTTATATTCAATGTGTAAAAAGTATTGCTGTTGTGTATATTATAATTATATCAACACTGTTTCGATCGGGAAATTCAATACCTTAAAAAATATGAGTGATACAAAAAAAATGCTTCAGACAAAAGTTGCGAGGTATAGATTTAAGCATATGGTGATTATATTTTTTTTACATTATGCGAATATTATAAAGTTGCTTAAATGACAGTAAATATTTTGCGTTTCCAATCAAACGTTATATAAACAGACAAATGGAATTTATTTGCACAAAGTTTTTATTTTTGAAATGAAAATCGTTTTATATAGCAGGGATTATGTACCCGTAGTATTTTATATATTCAATTTTAATTGATTTAATAAGTTTAGCATAGATCTTTATACTTCATTTATAGTCTTGAGTATTCAATTAATTTACATCCAACTTATTGTTCGTGATCACGTATTTTTTTACGTCGAAAGTGCAATAGATTTTAAATGTAGAAAACAATGCATTTTTCAGTAACCAGAATCTGCATTTTGCGAACTATGTACATCTATGAAACACGCTATATTAAATAAATTAAACTTTTACTTTTGATTAACCACATATTATACATTATTGTTACTACCCTGCCCCCTGCCCAGGTTATTTCATTCAATAAGATGGCGTCATATATTATTTATTGCACTTGTACTTAGTTATATTGACATTACCAACGCTAATTAACTGACTAGAATTTAATAATGGCAAGTTATACTTACAGTACTTAAATACTGTTAACAACATTAACCGACCACCAAGTGCATAGTTGTTGCTGAACGCAATTAATGCACTTGCACTACTACTCGTAAGTATTTAATTACTAATTGATGAGTATTTAACATTAAAACTATTATTTATTATCTAATAAAATATTGAAAATAAACTACGAATTATTTTCAATTTTTTAGAAAAATTAGAACAATACGTTTCTGAGATTCGGAGGGTCTCCTAAATTTGTACCTGTGTTTCACTTATTCTTCTCTAAATTGTGATTACTATAAGTGATCAAATGTTGTTAAGTGGTAATAAATATAAAGAAAATGACAAGGTATTTATTTACGTCTTGTTGTCACATATTATAGTAATGCAAACAAGTCAATGTTACGCTAGTCACAAGTTTAAAATACGCTTTAAATCATTTATCCAACGGGATTTGCTAATAATTATGATATGTACTAAATATATATCAACGACTTTATTCATTAGCTCTTAGTTTCCGAATACTTTTTGTTGGCAGTACCGAAAGGTGGTGAATTATGAGTAACGTCGACTGTTACACTGCATAATAATATCAAATTATTTCATATGTATTTATTGTTACTTATAAATATCAAACTTTATATAGCAAATATAGTATTCACCAATGAAAATTTATGACACATAATAAAATATGAGGAATACTTTTCATGAACCGATTAGGAGTATTTATAACATTTATTTCCATTTATCTATCCTTTCATTTATGTTAAATAATATTATTAAAATACCGTAATACAGTGAAACAACTTCGCTAATATTTCTGTTGTAAGAATGCAACAAATTGTACAAGTGATTCCAATGAAATTATTTACATATCTTTTATTAATGAAATTTAGGAACTAACAACGTTGAATTAAACTTTATTTTTTGTTCCCTTGTAAATATCATCTGGTTTGGTTGATCTTAAATCATTACTTTATTTGCTATCGAATACTGACTAACAAAGAGATCAAATATGAAGAGAAAAACATAATAATTCAAAGAAAAGGAACACTAAGGACGAAGAGTATATTTAACGTAAGTAAATAAGAACACAGCATAGTTTGCGAACCACTGGGAAAAGTGTTAAAAATTGAAGATGCAGAAGAGGAGTACGTATTATTCACTGTTCCATAAGTGAATTGAGGGAAATGCGTTTGAAAACAATTATTCGATGAAAAGGCGACACGTCAGTCTGTCACAATTTCCTGATCCAAAGGTGGTGTAGCATTAGTAGCTACGCAGATTAATAATGACGAGAAATGAGAAGGAGAAAAAGAGAAAAAAACATCACCTGCCAAAGGACACAGAAATTCCACGAAAGAATTTCGAAAGATGAAGTAATAGGAAAGATAAAGTGAAGAAGAACCCATAGAAACTGTTATCAGGCTGATAACATTGTCGAGAATACAGTCGATATTAAAGGAGCAAGAAAGAAGAGAAGAAGTATCGTAATCTGAGGAAAAAATATAATGTCTCTGGTTTGATACAGATTTCTCTTACCCCGACCACTGGTTTGTAGCCCATTCTGATCTCCTTTGGTTGTTGCCGGAAACGACATCATGCTCACGGTACTTTTATGTTTGAACGGGCTAATTTTCGGGTAACTTAATTCGTTGGTTACTTTCGAGAGAGGGCTAACTGTGTAATACGAGTTCACGTGATTCGACGAATACCTCCTGGTAGTGGTGCTACCGTATTTGTTCTTACTATTATTATCGAGGTTATTATTTACTTTAGTCTTGTATTTGTTGGTGTATAAATAATTGGCAGTTGTGTACGTGTATTTGGTCGCCGGGGTTGTTGCGAATGGTGTGGCGCGTTTGTAAGGAGTATTCGTCGACAACGACGACGACGACGACGGGAAAAGATTCGACAACGGTGACGATTGTTTAAATTTCGATAGTAGCGCGCTGTGTGTTGTCGAGTCCCATGGATACCTGTATCAAATAGCATTTAATGATATTATCACAACGATAGCAAATGTAGTAAATCTGTTAAATAAATCTGTTATTACCTGTTTGAAAGTGAAAAAACGAAACGACTGTACTATTTATTATGTTTTATGTAAAAATAAAAAAGCGTAATTCAATTTCTGAATTGAAACGAAAGAAGCATGATCGCGCCTCCTGCCACTTTTTGCAAACACCCGCGTGTCTCGAACGGTTAAAACTATGTGTAGTACTACATAATGTAATAAGAGAACATTCAGAGTGGGAAATCTATTTTAAAACTTGAAATAGAATTACTTCGAACCATTTTTCTTATATCCTATTTGCAGTATTTGCATTATAAACCATTCTTATAGGATTAATTACATAGTTCAATACCATACGATTCCATGTTCAGATTTTTCAGTAATTGTCTCTTTATACTCGAATTTCACCTAAATAAACTATTAAATGCGTATGTTAAATGCAATAACACCAAATTTAATATCAAAATCTATGTTGTACGATTTCATAAAAGTTCAAGTTTAGTGAACGTAAAATTTGTATGACATTCTCGTATAATACTTGAAATTGCAGATTGAACAGAATTTAAATAAAAAAGCGAATGAAATGTACAAAATCGAGATGCTATACATTAAATTATTTTGTTATTATTAGTATATTTAAATATCTATGAATTACTAAACTATTACCTGTATTCTGTGTTGTTGTATTGAGCGAATAGAGGCCGATTGTGGGCAGTGGGATTATAAGTGCCGTCCCGGCGTACATACGTCGGAATATTCTGTGTGTAATCTGGTATAATGTTTTCGTGTTCAGCCACGCACTTTCCATTCAGGCAGTACTAGAATTGTTAATAAACTTATTTGTAGATACTACATACAAATTTATATAAAATTGTTACATTTAAGTTAACCCTTTATACTTTGAAGTCATACGTCAATATATTAATACCTTGTTGATTTAACAGATATTCATATATTACATATGTTACATATATTTATAAACATATACTCTAAAGAAGAACAAATAATATGAAAATGGTTAGAGTAAATAAATAATAAATAAATTATGTTCTCAACTTGATTTAAAGGTCTTGACGTTTAAGGTAATGATGAATGTAATGTAATGTAATTGCAACACGTGATTATGATAATTATTGCATTGTATTTAACGAGAATTATTTAAAAAATGAGAAATAAAGTAGTTATTTTTTTATTATTCTTTATAGTTGTCTAGGTCCAGTAACACTTATATGTGTTCAGCTGTAATGTGTTTACCTGACCATCTCCGCAAGGAGATCCCTCGGCTGCTGGTCGATATGCCACGCAATAACCCGAACCAGCATCAAAACAAAAGAGCTGTGCACAAACTCTATCATCTTTCTATAATGCAATAAAATTATTTTAATGAGTCAACGTTATATGAAACATCATTGAATATATACGAAGTAAAATTATTTATAGTATATTTTATATACTGGGTGAATTCTTTAATCGTACCATTAAAATTTATTTATTGGGTAAAAAGATGGTCGAGGTAGAAGTTGTTTGATATAAAAAGTAGAAAGTATGGTTGGTTTGATTGATACCGAATAACTTTCGTTTGGAACATTTTTTTATATGATAAATGGATTACAAGTAAATTTAGGTGGTACGATTGAATGACTCATTTTGCATGTTTCTACATTCTACATGGTATATTTGCATGACAGTACGTTCATTGCAAAATATTGCTATATATATATTAACATTTATCTGTATAAAACGATATTTCATGTACAAAAACTGTGGTAAAGTTTCTTTTATTTGTTTTTTGGTGAAACTTACGAAACAAGCACTAGTTCCACGGTCTTTTCGACACTGCGCGTCTAACGAGAGCAATTTTCCGGGTAGAACTCTAGGAAGTGCTTCGTCTTCGTGGGGAGCATTATATAAACACGTTGCTGTATCGCCACTAAAATAAATAATTTCATGAACTGCAAACTGAATTACTTTGATAGAAATAGATAATCGTGATAATTCTTGATATTACATTATTTCAACAATTACCACATGGATTCAAGTAATTTATGAAATATATAAATACAATACAATTAGTTAAGTTGTACTAAAACTTATTATGGTTATAACAAAACTTACAGTGAAAATAATGCAATATAAACATAATATATAAGTATAAACATAATGAGTTGTGTTTACTTTAAAAAATGATGAAACGACGATACGCTACAGTGAGACCATTTGAAGCCTTTCTCTGTGTGTCTAAGATCACTCATGATATAGCCATCTTCCCAGCGACATTTTTCTGCTCCAGGTCCCCCGAGATAACTGGGCGGTGGTGATCCATCGTGAACCGCACCTAGCCTATAATATTTGAATTTCAAATTAAATTCATTCTTTTTTAAATATTTCCTATGAGTATCATACATATTTTAATAAAAGTTCTTTATATTACAATGTTTATAACATATAAATATTCTATTGTAGATATGTTAGCAACTCTCAGCAACTAGTCCCTGGATTCAGTGCGACAATAAAATTGCTTTTTTTAAAGCAACATTTAATGCAATAACTAAAACCTACATATACTGCAGTAGACTCCTTTTTATTCGACTTCGCTTTAACCGGCCTCCGTTGTTGATACCTACCGTCCGTTGCAGCGAACCTGGCACTCGTGACATCATAGGGGTGGAGACAGTTGCTCCGAGAACTCCAATTGCGAGTTTGGAAACGGCTCCTCGTGCTCTCTGTCGTGCGATCCGAGTAGTATGCGTGAGCGCCTCAGCAAATCATGCACCAGAACCGAAAATCCGTGTGGGCAAAGCGTGCGCCTTCGAATCTAATCACTCAGACGAGAGTGCCAAGTTTGTTGCAACGGACGGTACTTACCTGGGATGGGACCCTATGATTTACAAACTTATCTATTTTAACATATTTTCATTTTGGATCATTTTGACTATTAAAGTGCATAGAATATACATACACTGTCGATCAAAAGTTTTGGACCAACACATCGATTAAAAGAAAAGCTTTCATTTTTTGTGAACTACTTTTATCGGAGAATTTTTGTGTATGATAAAGGAACGTGGACATATGTGTATTAGTCAAATATAAAGATATGTAATTTCTGTTATTTTATTTTATATATTTATAAGATGCATAATTTTTAATTTGTGACGTTATATATGAAGTGGTGATAAACTTTTAATCGAAAGTGTATATAATACTACTACTAATTCCACTTGTTAAAATTTCTCAAATTAAAACAGATTCATTAATAACAAAAGACAATATTTCTTTTATGAAACGAAGGTTACAGCATCTGCTCAAATTCTGTATTATAATAAAAATCTTATCAGTAGGAGACAAGAGAGATGGTAAAGAAGAACTTACAAATGACCGACTTCGTGGGCAGCAACAATAATTCCACTAAATCCGCCAGTATCCTCGATGATAGCGACCGAATTCACTTTTTCCAGACGCTTATTTACAACACAGGCGCCACCCACGTACGCAAAACCTGAATAGATGAATAAGATTAACTTATAATCTACAAAATCTCTTGTATGGAATATTTGTTAATATTAATAGAAATGTTAATGTAGCTAGTAAATTCGTTATTTGATTTAGTCTAATAAGCTACATTCTGAGCGAGTTAAATTAAATAGCGGATCAGCGAAATGTACAAACGTGTCCCCAATTTTAAGAATACTGATGCGATCACATCACGTCTTATAAGGATGGCTTCTATTAAGATTAATCGAGTAGTATAATTTTTAATTTACCATTTAGATTACATTAATGAAAACTGTGCAAGTAATGCTAGCAATAAATTTATGCTTCATTAAATTCAACAACAAACAATAAATTTGTATATTTTATTTGCAACTGTGCATATCATTTTGAAAATAAGATATTGTATTTTTTGGTAGTAATGTTTAAAAATAGTATTTAATGATAACATTTTATTTTATGAGTACTGAAGACATTTTTAATATAAAAATTATATAATATAAAATATTCCCATTAAATTTATTCTCTATCTACAAAAATTAGTTTAAGCGATACAAATTCTATTGCAATATATATTTCATTAATTTACTTTTATTACTAAGAAATATTTGAAGTATATTTTTTCAAATATAAAATTCAAATATTTCATTTTATGCTTAAGGTTGTTAAACTAAAAATATTTTACTTGCTGTCATTACGTTTCTTAAAGTTTACCCAATCTTGCTATTAATTTATCAACTGATGGAAAGAATAGAATAAGGACTCTTGCAAACTCTTTGCAAATTTTATCATATCAATAAAAAACGATTACAAGACGGAAATTCTGTACTTATAATAATATTACTTTTATTAATATCAACTTATAATAATATTTTTAATAATATTAACTTATAATAATATTATTTTTAATAATATCATTTTATAACTGAATAAATCGAATTCATTGAAATCGAATGTACACCCTGCTGAAATTAATACACCCAACAGTTACTTTAGTTTCACTTATTCTCAAAGATGAAGACAAGCATTTACTTCCCCGAGTTATTGCCTATATCTTTATTAGATATGAAATTCTAGCGGAAACCTAATAACAGTTTATTCATGTAACCAATACTTTGCCCACTAGTAAAGAAAGAGAGACAAGAGTTTAACTGTTTAACGATCAGCATGCACCTGATGTTAATTTATGTTGAATGATTAATCGAAGCAACCGGAACAGTTATTCTTTTTATTTACCATAGAATTCATTTTCAACGTTTCCCTTCAACAATTTCAAATAAACCTATAAGACTTTTTATTTCGGGGACTTCTGAGTTTTAATAACTTGTTTTTCCAGTTTGTCTTCTAATTACATCGATTTAAAGACTTACCAGAAATGATCCTTAGCAATATTGCAGCCAAAGAAACAAAAAAGGCATAAGTATTTAGTATTTAGGAGAGTACTCATAGAACGTAAACGTGACAAAGATACTTTAGTACTTTTCCGAGATATTCTTTACCCTAAAACTACCGTATTCGTAAAAATGGCGGGTTTCAGTTTTCTTGTTTTGCAATTATTGATATTCTCAAAGTATTAAATATCCAAATGATACTGTCAGGTGCAATCAATTGACGGTGCTGAGTGACACGACACGATTTTTACAAGAATCATTGGAAACAAATTTTTGTGCAGCTATGTTCAGCTGCATTTATGCACACACGTGCATCTCATATGTATAAATATACATATTATTTTATTATTATGCCCCTAACAGAGTAATATTCATCTTAATTTTCAAAGGTGTAGGTGTGAACTTAAAATAGTTTTACAGATAATTTCTAAAATCCGTTTTACAATATGATATTTTACGTTTTAAATGCATGATTACCTGCATTTTAACCGAAATAATTAAATTCAACGAGTTCTTGGAACACATTAATTTTAATGTCAAGTAAAATGATTGATTAAAAATAAAGAAATAAATAATTTTTCAAATATGTACAGTAACACGGTTAAAAATATTATATTTTCTGAAGTATTACTTGTTATTTTATTTAACGAGTAACTTATACCCACGTCTGATGAGAAGAAACCGTAGCCATTGTGCAATGGAGGGAGTAGAGAAGATTTAAAAGAGAACTTTTCGAAGTCCGGCAGGAGATAGATCAAATATGCAACCCATTCATTTTCGTTCATATGCTCAGTGTAAGAATCAGGGCGAGACACAGACAGAGAAAAATTGGAGAAAACCCAGACTGAGAAAGGTGACATTCGCAGATAAGGAAACGCGTGTGGCAAGCTGTATAGAATTGTTCACATTCAGCTCAAGGCAATTCAAACGATGGTTTAGGTGTTTGCTGTGAAAATTTCAAACGTAAAGTGTTTTGTTCAAGCTATCAGAGTTCTAAAAAAACAGAAATAAAAGAAGTCATAAGCGAGGTCAGGGTGTTCACAAAATGGTACAAAAATTCTACGCATGTTGTACACACTGATGTAATTATAAACCTGATTACTACAAATTGTTGCAGTGTACATTTAAATAATAATTAAACTTTTAACGTTTACGATTTTTAAGAAATTTCAATCTATCTATACATTTGAAATATTATTAAAAAAACATGGATACCTAGGTTATTAATATATTTTTTTAATAACATTTTTAGATTCAAATTGTTCTGGGTATAATGAGAATGTGATTTAATCAATAAATATTACATAAACAAAATGGTGCTAGAAGATGAGAAAGTATTATTAGAAAAAATTATATATAGAAAGTAATAATTTGGTCAAAAGGTCTCGAAGAATACAACTGGGTTAATAAAGAATATTGTCTTTTGAATTCTTATAGAATAGTCTTAAGAATTTATATATATATATATATAAGTAAATACTGTACAAAGTGTTTTCAAATTTATATCACGAAGTGTTGAAGCATAGTGTTGAAGCACAAGACTTCAAAGACCAAAATTTCTAAAATTGTATGCTATATACTGTTGCAAGCATAAATAATTCCTAAATAATAATAATAATTTCTTAACAGTATAATACAATTTCTGTAAACATCACCCATTTTATAATTACAAGGCTCTTGTGTTATCTTTTTATCTATTAGTAATAACTACTTAACAACAAGAAGGTAGTTCATTCAGTTGCATTTTCTTTATTAATATATTACTTTTACTATTTTACTTTCATTGTTACTATTATTATTATTGCTATTATTACTATATTGTTATTATTTTATAAATGGTACAGGTATTTACGCATTCCAGTTGGAGCATGATTAGTGTTTAATTTAGACCCGATAACAGAATGTGTTTATTTTTGTACGTGGTACACATGCGTAGTCTTTTTATCACAAAGTGGACATCCTATAATTTACAATTTTATATTTCGAGTGTGGACTATGCTTTCCTGATAAAATGTCTCGATATGCCTTCAGATGTGAGATAAAATAACATAGGAGACATTTTGTGGGATTTAATCAATATTATCAAACGATTTACGTTATTGCACTGTTTCATTCTGTATTCACAGTATCAAGCACAGCAAATTGTATTTAAAATAATGCGGAGTCCATTCGCTGGAATTTATTCTTCATCCCACAACCAACCCGCTTATACGCATGCTTAGAAAATAAAGCGCATATTTTGTTTTTGTTACTGGTCGGATCGTTGATTATATTCAACAAGTTGAGCTATTGAATTTAAAAATGACTGAAACTTTTTCTAAATTCATAGCTCTGTTATTCATTTGTCATTTAATAGTATATTGTGCATTTTAGACATTTATAACATATTTCATTTTTGAAGTTTGATATAGTGAGATGTTTAAAACATTTTACTGAAAATTATACTGTCTTGGATGATTAGAATACTTAATAAAGTAAATTTTATTAGTAGAATTTATTACTTATTTCTTTTTTACTTGAATAAACAAGTGCTGTTTTATTGTGTACAAATAACTGTAGTGTAACACTTTAACCATGAAGGACATTAGAGACCTACAAAATATCAACACATTATACATAATACTTTCTTTCAGCTTTTAAAATTTGGTTATTGTAAAAATATATCGAAAACGATTTGTTTACAATTACATTCAATGTTTTTAAAAATATTACTATATTGAAAATTAAGAAAATGTTTCGTTTATGTGTCATACGAAGGATAATAATAGTAGAACTTTGGTCGAAATCTAAAATTTGATTAACCCTTTGCATATAATATCGAGTCAGGCTCGTGAGGAAGTTCTCAAATAAAAGTTAAAAAAACTAAATGTCACTCAGTTATTTCAGGTTCAAATTAAATACTGTTTTTTTTATCAATTGTTATGCTCTAAATTGAACCTTTTTTCTTCTTGAATAAGATATTAATGTCAAAGTTATCTTAGTGTTCGCCTGTACCGGTTCGTTGACTTCCTAAAGAAGGATGATCCTCCGTTCAGGAGGCACATTACGCACATATCTTTAATCGCGCTTCTCAGCTAAGTTCATGACATTATTAGGGCCATACCAGTTATCAATTAGTCAATCCTGCTACTGCAGACAGTTTAGTTTATCTACATATTTTATGTATTACTGAAAAAGAAGAAACACATTAGTAACTATTTTCTTATATTTTTTTTTCAAATTTAAATGTGTTATTAAAAAAATGGGAATATCATTAAATCCTTGAGAAAATGGGAATATGATTAAATTCTTGAGAAAATGGGAATATGATTAAATTCTTGAGAAAATGGGAATATGATTAAATTTCAGCAAAAATAGGAATATGATAACATTTTTGAAAAAACAAAAATATGATGAAATTTTGAAGAACATAATAATATGAAAAAAATAACACGAAGAATGCAAGGGGTCGAATAATTGAAAATATAAGGACAATCGATTCCTTTAAGTGTTAATATAATTCTGAAACATACTTCATGATATGTTTTCAGGTCATACCTATAAAAATGTCGGAACACTTCTTTTGTAACCCAAAACATTTTTTAAAGTTTCTTGTGACTACTAAAGATACTATTTGACAACAGAAACTGTTTATATTTATAAACTCAGATAAGTTGAAACCACTTAATTCATAAATATGAACACGAAGCACTAAAAATGTCATAAACTGATCTAAACTTCCTCAAGAGAGAATTATCATATTAATGTTCCGCTCATATTTGCAACTTGTCAATCAGTTTTAATATATTCATTCCTATTATCGAAATTATAGGTTCGAATAATCAAGGAACCTCTGATGTATCCCTTTTTAAAAGTATCCAAAAATCGATAATAAACATTGAACAATTAATGGTAATTACCAATTCTTTAAAACCTAATAGTGCAATTACTGCAATTACCATTTAGCTTAAGCACATCTTGCTGGCATAAGTTTATTATCTCGACAATAATGATTGTACTTGTAAACATTCTTTCAGAAAAGCATAGCTTACACTCAAATGGACATTTATGAGGAGCAGGGACCTGGCCCGTGATGGACCAGGATATCTAGGATCTCTTCCGTAGAACTGTTGGTCGCGAAGAAGTACTTGATAGTAGAAAAAGAACTTTACAGAGCTGTGCACACACAGGTGAATGGTTCATATCATCACTCGACAATTTTGTGTTCGGTTTACTTTAAACCCGGAAAACGTACCTGCGGTTCCTCTATTGCACACGTCATTCGCGTATTGCCTCCTGCACATATCTAATCTGCAATGCAACAACAAAAGTTCCACTTTATCATGTAGATTCACAATTTGCTTCGTTTGGACCACGTCACAGGACAATCAACGGAGACGTATCCGCTCGTATGTTTATGTCAAAACTTTTTGCGTGATACAAGAACAAAAACAAAAACAGCGTAAAGTAAGGGAACAAGAATGTAATGATGCTTCCAACATTGATGATAATTTCGTGGTAATGATTCTCTGCAATCTTCATACGATTCTTTTTTTTCAAAAAGAGACAGATGCGTTCCAGTCGGTCTTTGAAAACTTGAAGCGTTAATGATGATGTACTTCATTAGGTTGCATCATAAACTATTCTTTACGATGTCAGTGTGTTTCGTCAAGTGTCGTGTATTATTTCATTTCTAATTTTATATTATAATTTTACGTGAATATTCTCAGAAGGACAGAATGTTAAGTGAACCAAATTAACATTTCCATTATATGGACCGTTCATTTGTCGAAGTAACTGGTTTTGAGGAAAGGTAAACAAATTGATAAAGCTATGTATTGATTTTTAAAATTCTTTTTGAAACGTCTCGAATAAAATTTTGTAAAATATATGTATTATTAAATATGAAGCTTTTATATGACAGTACATAGAATGTATAAACATGTAGTATGTACTGGCTAACATGGCTAGACTTTACTGCTTTTGTCGTTATTATCATGATGTTTTGTTTAAAAATATTTAAAAGACTATATTTAAAGTAATGCAATATATTAAATAATTTAGCACACATTTCTAGTACTGGGATAATAAAAGAAATATAATGTATTGAAAATATAATAACACGATTTTGTAAAGGAATGAAAATAATAATAATATACAACATTTAACGTGACCACAATAACATTCTAAGAAGGTTATACTTCAAAACAAACGTTATACATTTATGATACAACTCTATAAGTTCCAGTTGACAAAAGGCAAACACAATATCGTGAAGCGATATTAAACGTCTTATAGGAAGTTTTCTTCTTGGTTCAACCATAAAAACGCGGAAGGTGACAGTGTGGAATTATGATAAAGCAAACACAGCACACGTGTAAACAATTGTCAATTAGTGATCAAATTTTGCGTCTCAGACACAAGTAGTTAGAGATTCTCGTAGTTTACAGCGGTAGTGTACAAGTTTTTATAATACTATTTTTCAGTTTCGTTCGCTCAAATACAAGGTGACAAGTTATGAATGGTGTATGTGCATGAGAAAGTACTGATTGTACTTATATACGTAATTTGACCCTTGTGAAGAGATTATATCTTCGGTTTGCAAAATACTAAATACTGTTACTATAATTTCTTTGAAATACCTACTTAAACAACATATCCTAACGATCACTGATTTTATTGTAACTTTCATAGAAACTAGTTCTCACAAAGATTTTTTACGCACATGTCTTTTTGTCGATCATAATTATTGTTGAGAGGGTAATAAAACTCAAATTTGAGGGTAAGACATATTTGTTTGCATTGAAATTCGATTTTAGAAATTGTTAGAGTTAGAAGAACGTCTAAAAGGCAACGTCTATCTTTCAGTAAGGGTAAGTAAATTTTAACTATCATTTATTTACGCTGTTAGAAGGACTGTCTTGTATAAAATGCAAGAAAAATTTACAACATTCTTTGCAAAGTAAAAATAAAAATTCTATTTCGTTTGCTGTTTGCATAATGTTTGGATATATACTTTATAACAAGTAAATAATGTATAAATATATTAATATTTGAGAAGTTAATTTTTAAGTTTTCATGTATTATTTAAAGAGGTGCTGTTTCCTAAAATCTGTTGCTTTAGTGCTAATTCATGTTCTAGCTGTCATAATTTCCAATACATTCGACCAAGTATATCTCTCACTTTCAAGTTTGACGCTTGCTTTCGATTAATTTACATAATATACTAATAACATAATTGTATATTATTTTATATTATTCGCATACATATAAATATATGTATGAATTGCTGTTAATACTATTAATATATTATATTATTTACTACTTAATTTTTGTATGAACTCCTTTCTATCGAAATTACAACGAGATCGATGATTGTCACTTTGATATGTTTCCTTGTAAATTGTATTTTTCGTAATACGAACAGCAATCCAAGTTTCTAAAATCATCACGACTGTGTCGTCATTATTGTGTATTAGTTTACCATTACCTTTTTAATTTGATTTAGGTTACTACTAATTATAGGCAACTGAGTATACATTGTATGCAATAAGCCCTTCTATTTAGAGGCGACCAGTTTTTCATACAATAACAAGTCTAGTAAGTACTTGACACCATATTTAGGGAACTAGTGAACTGAAAGAGTCAAAAGAATATGCTTTCCCGTAATGTTTAGTGAGGGTGTTTCTGACATCGAGAAGATTTTACAATTATTAATATTCTGTTTGTATCATTCCTAACATTCTACGATGTCAATGCGGAAAGTTACTAGAAGCGACAAATTCTAGTAAATATACTTGTGTTTGAAAGTATTTAACTTTCTTGAAGATTATTATTAAAAATTATTAAAATTATGTATAAATAAAATCATAATAGTAATATTAAAAAAGATATAGGATTATTAAAAATTACTTACTGAAATGGCATTATCATTAAATACCATGATTATGCATGTAAAAAACGTTACACCAGTTTTGTTTTTAGAGAAGTATTAAACTTTAATATAAACACTCGACTGTTCGTTTCGAAAAAAGGACAACATGAATTAATTTGCATCGATCAAACTCATATTGCGTATGCCGTATAATTTTAGAAACTGAAACATACTACTTGAAACTAAATAAATTGATAAACATGTAGTTTATTATTGTTGTAGGGTATTATAATTTTTACGTGAAAGGATATTACTTTCGAATCATTCACCCCTACAAGTCCCACGCCCATGAAAATATGCTGTCACAGCACCGTAAAAGCCAACAACTACATTAAGGCTAGTGTAAAACACTATACAACGCTAATAGTAAATATAATATTATAAAGGAGAATAATGTATATATAAGTTGAAAAATAAAGCGTGATCGCTATGTAATAAACCATACCGGCAGTTCCCTTAGTGCAGCGGCCGCCTTTCCTACGACGGCACATATCATACCTGTTTTGCGAAATAAAAATCAAACAGTATGAAATCACCGGATACTCGTAGACTGTATAACATAATGTAGAGGGCCATAGAATGTATTCATGCTCCGTTTTCAATTAGTTTTGTTGGAAGGAAAACTGGTCCGATTCAAATATGTGCATTAAATTTCTAATATCTAATCTTGTCTGACCAATTAACTGATATACAGTGTTGGATAGAGCTGCTATTGGCACAGCATGGTTATTAAGACACGAATGCGCATAGCTACTTATTTATACGCATAGCTACTAAAACACTTCAATTAGAGAACAAACTTAATCGCCTGTTCACATTTTAAATATTCTAGCTTATTGTATAGAAAAAAGCATTAACACTAGAACTACAGAGCATTTAACCAGTTAACTGCGTTTGACGAGTATACACGTCATCTTAAAGCTTGAAATGATACTGTATAAGTCTCTTAACGATGAATTATTTGTTTTTTTCAGATAAACATGTAATTCTTCTTTGTTTTGCTTTGGTTTTCAGTAAAATATACGATATGTGCATTCGTTCTGCGTTTGACGAGTACACATTTATTAATATATTTTTTATAATTATCTATAAGTTACTATTAATATTGATATTACTATTCATTACTTTATTATATTTCAAACTAGAATATATAAAATTCTCTCCAATGAAATTTCTTGAGCAGTTATGAGCACTCGTATCTTAACAATCATATTGTGCCAACGTATTCGTCCAGTACTGTATGAACATCGATTAAATCATAAAATTAATAAGTATTGTAATTTTAAAATCATATCATCATTCCGTGTAATTTGCATGTATAAATGAAATGGCAACTCTTACTTCGTGACGGCGACAGCTATGTCGTAAACCGGAAGTCTTCTCTCCCGGAAAAGATATTTGCCCATATCGGTCAATGCAGCCGCCGAATCGATCGCGTCTCGTCCCACGCGATTCCTTTCTAAATACGGTGTCGCATCCCTTCCCTATCAGAAATTATATAAAATGATAATCTTTATGGAATTTCTGTATAAGGTAAATGTCCCTTGTTCATGGTTATGTTCACATCACCGAATATTTCTTTACATCATACTTTAATGAATTTAATAATAACATAAAATAATAGTTATTCCCTTTGTGCAAGGAAAAAAAGCACTAGTAATATTTTCAATAATTATTTATAACTTTACAAATATATATATAATTATAATTATTACTAATTATTTATAATTACTTATTTATTTCATTTTTGAAGAGTATTTAAATCAAAGCGTTCTCATACTTTGGAAGTTTCAAAACAACGAACTTTTTCTAATAAAATAAATAATTTTACAGAAATCAATAATTAAAAAATAAATTTCTAATTAATCCCTGGACTTAAAATATTAATGAATATTGAAATTTGCATAAAAATCTGTAATCTATTTATGCCAAGAACTAACTTATTCTTGTATGGTCAGTAAAAGGGTCATTTACCTTAACGTTTTGTAGGACTTTATATTAGGCTTATTAATTAATTTAAATACATTACTCGTGAAATAATAATTCCTGCGATACTGATACGAATCTTTGGCCCCTTCAGCAGCTTGTACCTTAAATCTACCCCATTCCAGAAAGACACGAAGTACCTTTTAATCTGTACATTATCACCGCCATGTAACCTGCAAAATAGTACGTGATTATTCATATTTTTTCATACATTTATATTCATTTTATTATATATACAAATATCTTTTATACATGATAAAAAAATTCTTCAGTATAAAGATATAACTACTAAGTATTAGTTCTTGATTTATTATGTAATTTATTAAATAGTAATTTTTTAATTTATTTCACTTGAAATCTATTAATCGTGAATTGTCGTTTCAGTGCATTTGACACACACGAACTTATATATTATAAATGCATAACATCTACAGTATAGAAATAAGATATAAGAATAAGAAAATTTATCTCACCTATATCCATCATAATCCACGATACAAAGGATTTCCGGATAAATTACGTATGGTGCTTCTCTTTTTACTCTACTGTTGATCGATCGCCTCGATCTATACCTCTTAGGTAAATGATCAGGTTCCATCAGCGCTGAAACGAATGTTGTTCTTTCAAAATTTTATCTTTAGAGTGACAATGTGTGTATTTACATATATTTCGTTGTATAAGTGTTCATATATGAAGGTATGTATAATAATGTTTATTGATACATTTTAATTTTACACTTTTGATAGATACTCTTTAGGAAAAAGTAAACCAAATGCAAAGTACTTATATTTTTTATTTGTTTGTATTTATAATACATACATCCATCATAATAGGTAGATGAACACTTATGTAGTAAAGTGCAAAAGATCAACAATCACTTACTGAAATCGCTGTACTCATCGTAATTAGGTTTGGGCACTTTCTTGAAGACCACATGATGACTGGTGTGCTTCAACTTTTCTTTACTTCGTGTCACGTTTGGTAACAACTCGACCCGTTGAAGAGTCGGTATCCTATTCACTACTTCGTGCAGTACACGATCTGGCAGTGGTCTAATCACTAATTCTGAACCGATGTTCCCATCCTGTTGGAAAACGATTTAAGAAAATGTATTATACGTTTGACATTTATAGGAATTTTATGGACGGATTATGTACAAGGTGTTTCATTTAACTAGACCATATTCATACTTTGTTTGGTACTTCGATTTATTTCAATCGAGCAATATAGAAGCTTTTAAGATATTTTTGTAATTAATCTAAATTATGTAGCAATGATGATTTAATTGTCTTTGATTAGTTTTTCTGCATAGTTCAAACGGTTATGCAATTTAAGATTTTTATTGTACGTATTTCATGTTTTGTTATCAAATTTCTCATTGTAATAGTCAATTAAATTTAACCACTTTATATGCATACTTTTGAATGAGTACATACTAAGGCTATTCGTGTGCAAATATTATATTGCTATTGTTTTCAGTAGTCTCCAAATAAAATATTATTCACTCGAAACATATTGCTGTAATTGGAATATTTTATATTCAAAGTTATGCAATTATCAATTTTTTATTAATCTTTTGTCTCACTGCAAATGAATAACTACTTACAACATTTTACAGAAGTTAATTTATGATTCGTTTGTACATTATATGCTGTAATTATTTGAGTATAGAATCTTCTTTCAAATGAACAAACTTTTTAAGGTAGTGTTAACTTTTTAAGTTAATTTTCTATTGTCTTTAGAACCAAAATGTGGCTACTTACAAATCTTAAATCTGGAAATTTTAAAACTTATTTTAATTACTATGATTTTAAATTTACTTGTTTACATAACATTTATTAACATATCTTACACTCCTATTTTTTAAAAATCATTTTTAAAAATGTATTTCGAGGATAGAATGAACTAGACTAGTTAGTGTTTTCTATTTGAAATAATATTTTCTCTGTCATTAAGTAAAATTGCCTGCCGCGTTGTGACCTTTATTTAACGTACATCTTCTATGGAAGGACACATTTCATGTTCGCCAGGAAGTGGTTTAAGCTGATGGAATAACCTGATCGTTAAGACTTCTGATCCTCGCACGATCAAGTTGTTGCATCTACGGTTAGGGAGGTGTAATAGTCCAGGGGTGGGAGGGAGAGTGAAAGCGAAAGGTCAGGGCACACGGGGTCGCATAGAACCATGTTTTTATGGCTTATATAATCAATCTACGTTATTTGTTTTCTTTAGAATTTCTACGGTAATTTTATTACTTTCGAAAATTCAACGACAGTTTTATTGAATTGACCTTTATTAATCAATCCAGTACGCTCATTAGAAAATGTAGTATTTTATCGTTCATTATTAACATTTCAAGATTCTTTATAGGATTCAAATTTTATAACGTATTAATTTAATAATAAAAATAATTTATGGTATGATATAATGAACTATTCCTGATCGTTATTGGACCTTTTAATTAATTATGTAATATAAGTTATATGTAACTATTCAGTATATATATTCAATGGATTAGAAAGAATTTTTATATATTTATATCTTTATGTAATCCACAAGTATCTTTAATTAGAAAATTTAAGATTATCTAGTACAAAAAAGGATTTTAATCAGGAAAATATGAATACAATTTATAAGAATCAGTGGATTTGTATTTGTTGTAGGGCCAAACATACGTAAATTTAAATGGTATAATGCAAAACGTTGAGAATTTCTCATTTTACAAGGAAAATGATTTTTTTTTAATTATCGAAAAATATATATTTATTATTAATTACAAATTTGTATCAATTTATTTGTATGTACACATTTATCATCAATTGCAGATTTCTATTTATAATTCATTGTAAATATGTAGAATCTCAGTTTTTACCTGTCTAATTATACTAATCAATGAATACATATATGCCAATATTTGGAATTTGACAGATATATGTTGATTTTGTTATTTAGCTGTATATGTATTTCATTACATATTCAACTGACCACATATATGAGCAATCCACATACAAATACAAATGTTCTGTCGTTTGTAGTTTATAAGCCTGTCAATCGTGTTTGACCAATTCTGTGCCTCGTGTTTAATGCCAGCTTTGGCAATGCCACTCAGTTCCTCTTGGTTTCGCGAGAGATCGAACTTCCTAAGTGAAATTGAGTCTCAGTTGGTTGGACGTGCAATCATCGAAAACGGCAACCTTCTTCTTGAAATTAGCAACCGTTCAGGAAGGTGGAACCGATATGGGAAATTTTATTACCTTTTTTCATCGTTCTCGTGCAATTTCATCGCAATGCATTTCGTATAAACCGCGAACGAATTGCAGCATCAGAATAGAAATGTCGAAACGATCACGGTGTTGTTACAGAGACTTTCCATCCTGATCAACAGATTTGTTCACGTAGACATTACGTGCGAATGTAAATATATTGTTGTACATTCGTTAAATTGTATGAATCCAGAAACTATAAAACGATTACTACAATCGAGGATAATAGGAATATATGTGTAATAAACTGAGTTTATAAGTTTATCTCAAATATAAGTGAATGATTTTTATTTCTATGTGTTCAGAGATGAATTGTTTAATTCAATCGTACGATAGGAATTATTATTTAGTCACAATAATAAAGATAATAAAAATTGTACTGTTATATTATATTAAAATTATATTACACAATAACAGAAATTTAATTGTTTTGATTTTATAAGCAAAATTAATTAATTGATTTCTGTATAAATTGATATTCATTTATGTTTTGATCATTTATGTTCCATGATAATAACTGATTGTTATCGTGTCTTTGTGTATTCATAAAATGTTACGATTAGTATCTTAATTTTATTATTAGTATTTTGGTATTGATCGCCACAGAAATAAACAAAATTTCTTTCTGCAAATGCTTTCAATTAAGAACTAATGAAATGGCAGTATATAATGAATGAACGTGTCATCGATGTTCTTCGTAAATATTCATTTTCATTGCTTAATCATTTAACTTTCTTCCAGAAGAATAAATCAGTTCTATCTTTTCAGTCACTTCTTAATTGAGGAACTTCATCAGTTCTTTCAAAAATGTATAGGTTCTCCATCAATTTACGTGTAACCGTTCGATCGAATATCGGTGGACGTCGAGTTTCGTAGCCGCGATGGCGAGTCATGCGTGACCAGGCATGTTTCCTTAACTCTTACCCTCGACCATATTTCTATGCAGAGTCGGTGATCAACAAACAATTGGTTCCTAACCTCAAGCCAACTAATTGCTTCTTACTTACGCATGTTTGACGAGGAATAGTGGTATTACGATAATTCATAATAGAGGGCTTAAGTAAGAGTCCTAAGTTGGTTGACGAAAGATGGGTCGCAATAATAGGAGAATGGCGAAAGGGACATTACAAATGAAAAGAATGCCTTCTTACAACGAGCACTTTCCCATTCGCGTCCCGATGCAGTAGAATGGACGCCATGTTCGTCGTATCTTGATAGATGTCACCGATATCTGTGTCGGCCTGAAAAAAGAAGAGCAAATATAATAAGCGTTTTGTCTACGCACAATGTATCAGAACTGGAAATTATTTGTCTTGCGTTTTGAATAAAATTTCTCTAAACGATAAATACAGTAAACTCTCCCTTATCCGACTTTGCTTTAACGGGCCTCCGTTCGCGAAACCTACGTAGATGCAAATTCTTATTTTTCTGTTGTAATCAATTATTATACTGTTATAATACTATTGGCAACTATATTATATCTATTATATAATGCAATATATAGTATAATATTTTTTTATTATTTAGTTATTATATTATATTATATTATATATATTTATTATAGTATTTAAGTGAAACTATTTATTATGAAAATCATTTCAAATATTTAGTACTCTTAAGATATCAATAATCGCGAGATAAGAAAACTGAAACTTGTCATTTTCACTGGCACGGTAGTTTTAGTGTTAATAGCGAAATAAGAAGCGGTGACGTGGCCTAGGAAATATGTCACGGTATGTAGGTTTAGACGAGATACATAACAATCGAAAAATATCTGATGTTCGTCACTTACAGTTGTCACTTTCTCGTAATGAAGGCCGTCAGGTTGCGACGTATTCTTCGTGACAACCCACATCGGCAAGTTCGCTGTCAACAACCCTTCCGTGAGCTTCAGCGACAGACCGATGTCCTTTCCGAAGGCCTTCAGGTGTATCTCCGGCTTCTCCGTACTTCTCTTGAGTACCGAATGCAACACAGGCACAACTTCGTACGCTGGCACTGAAATTTAAATGCAATGTATTCTCCGTAAGCGTTTCCTCTTCGAAGCATTTTCTTAAAGTTACGGCAATAGATGTAACAAGAGTTTGATATCGTTCCAACATGCAAAATGATTCGTAAGTACGCGTCCATGGTTTGGAGGGTAAATCTATGTACAAGATAGGAATTGAAAAAGTTCCGAAAATAACTGTTTGAAACTGTTATATGTACCCTTGATTATGAAAGTGGTCAAAGTCAAGAATCCAAAAGAAAAAATAAGTTTACCAATTATTTCGCATTGCATTCTCTTACATTCCCGTAATCTGAAATAATCTCTCCGAATTTAGAAAAAATTAAATTATTAGATAGTGTTGATTGCTGTGTCGTTGAACTGAATTCAGTTCAATTTAATTTTGACAGCGGACTGTTAGTTGCTGTACGGTTTTCTTTTGTTCTCTTTTACATAATGTAAATTTGAGTTTAAATTTTCGCGCCAACCATCGAATTCAATTATTGTTTATTGTTGCAAGTTATTTTTTAGACATTCTTTTAATTTTGTAAATGGCACATTTGATCATTTTCAACGTATCAGATTTGTATTTCTCTTCTAATTTTAATTAGTACAGATTTATAATTGCTAATAACTTGAAAATGAAATCGAAACTGCAGTCTATTATTTTTGATTGTCGTGTCGTATCATTGTACCACTTCCTAATTTTCTCTTATCTGTCAAATACTCTATGTATGCATAGTTCGCCACATGAATGTGCAATTTTAAAATAACGGCTTCTTTCTCAGTGAACACGCTGGCAAGAAAAAGCTGGCCGCGCTTCCTGTTACATACTTATGTTACGTATGTTATGCCATTCAGTTTAACCATGGAACGTTCAAGTGATGGAGAATATAGTCTTGCTAGTAAAAATTTTTATGAAAATAATGAATATTTTGAGTTCGTTGGACATTAATTTCATGGATATTTTTTCATTCAGAGCAATATCTGTACGTGATTGGAGGTTGTTAGCGCAATGTTAGAATTTAAACACAAATAGTCCATTATACTTTATGAAATGATCTATTGTTCAATAATAAAAGTTAATCTTTCGTTAAGCTATTAAACTACCAATGAAATGTGATATATTGAAAGTGGATTACAAAACCTTGACTTGAGGAAATATATTTAACAGGAAACATTAAATTATTTGTATAAATTGGTAAAAACTGGCTTTAGGTTTTTATAGTACTTTTCTCTGTACAACTTTTATCATTACTAAGCTCAGCTGATATTTCATATCGACGATGTCTAATGCCTAAGATCGTGTTTAACAACATTACTTGTCGTCGTAAACAAAGTTGTCCTCCAAATATAATAGTCTCGTTGAACGGGCATACCTTGTAACGCAGGATAATTATTCCATGAGAATTCCATGCTTTATTAGCATTTAGAGAGAAAATATAGGTACTCCGCATAATATTGTTTAGATAATTCTATGTTGCTTGTAGTGTGAACTTTGTTCTTTAACAATATAACCTCTGGCGGAACCTCCAGGTACCATTTTTTAGATATTATTGTATAACGTAATCATTTAAAAATTTAACATTTTTCAAATGTTATCGATATTAGTTTTTCATGTCGTTAAAAGCAGAATTCTATTTTCTTCTAGCAAGAACGAAAATGTTGAGAAACAAGAAACTATGATCGTAGTTACTCATCAATGTATAAAATGGAAAACACAATTTCTGCAGAACATGAATGCAAATGTTATTGTTTTCACATTAAACTTGTGAAAATCCACGTATAAGATTGAATGAATGTAAATCAATTTTACACCTTGATACAAGATAATTGTTAGCCGCGAGAAACTAATTTTGTTTACAGTAATTACCAGACTCGTGTCCCGTGTGAAACACCGATAACATCTCTTCCCTTGTCATGTGTTCGTGGATCTGCAACAAACAAGAAATTCATCGTAAGCTCTTCCATTGAAAAGAGAAAACTGTTCTTGTGTATATACGAGGTTTTTTGTAAATATAGAAAGTTGAGCTTTATATGATAGAAAGTTAATCGACGTTTCAGTGAAACCTTTCAAAACCTGCGTAACTTTCATACATATAGAATTTATAGTCACTTCTTTAAATTTAAATTTTACTTTTCCTTGTTACTAAATTCCTGTCTTTTATAGCGCCGTTAACTTATCAACGTTGTATTAAATTATTAATTGATTATGATATATATGATTTTATTGCGATTATTTTGTGGTTCTGGTCAATTATCTGATACTAGTTGAAATTTTTAATAATGTAATTCCTTTATTTATTTATTTTTTGTAGAATCTTTTCATTATTTTTGTAATTTCCATTTATAAGAACAAACTTTAACCAAAAAATGAGATTTTCTTTATGTATACGTGCTGCCTATATCTACAATAGGTAAGAAAAAGATATAATATGACGTAACTGTGTAAACGATCCAGAATTACAAACCAAAAAATAGCTTACGCTATATGTATTTGCATTGTGCATTCTTATTATGCACTACGACTATGCATAAATGAATTGTAATAAGATACTATTCATAAATATTTATGAAATACTCATTCATAGATGTGTTTAATAGAGTATTTATAGGCTGAGCTTTGACATAACAATAAACGGGTTTAAACATGCTTCTGTGCGTTACACGATAAAGATTTTTTTAATAATAGTTTCTCTTCGAATGTTTCATCCATACTTCTCCAATTTTGTCTATCAAAATCAGAAGAAAACTTTATGTTATCACTAAACAGAAATTCTTATTCAAAATATAAATTCTAACAAAATGTAGGTGGCAAAAGCAATAAATAATAATAACGTACTCGGCTAATACGTAACTATAGCGCAAAAAATATGTCAACCGTTGATCGCCGTTTTACAATCGTAACAGCTCTCATTTTCTGGTAGAATAATTTTCTTATTATCGACCATTATGTAATTTTCCAAATTTCGCTCCCCTGCTATTATTTAGTGCCACTAATCACGCTTTCTTCGCGTTATTAAGATATTTCTTTTCCTTTTTTTTGGTAAGTATTGTTCCTGGCCAAGAGCGTTGTGTCGAAACATCTAGGAAAAAAAGTAATTGCGGTCGTACCGTGGGAACAATAACGCGTAATAATGCCACGAACGAAGGAAAATACGGTTCCATGTTTTACGATGGTGATTTATAATCTTTTGCAGATCACTGCGCATCGATTATTTCACTCGTTCCACAACTCGATTCCACATTTGTCAGATATATTAATAATATATCTAACATTGAATTGTCTCGTAAATCTGTGGCTTTTTTCTCGGAAGAAAATTCTTTCACTGCTGAGTTCATGCTAAGTGTTATGTAACATTCAATACCTGTTTCATTCTTGTACAAGATAAGAATGCAAGATTTCTAATTTGAAATGTAAATTTAGAATCTTTCAAATGGGAGTTTCTATATTTGAAGAAATTTTAAACTATTAAACTTTTTTACACGCTTTACACTTTTTTTAACAAATATTAAAACTTCGATTGAACTCGGATAGTAAATATTTTTTTATAGTCGACAGAAGAAAGGTAATATTTAGTGTGAACACAAACGAACTGAATGACATTTAAAATTAATAAGTTTGAATTGAAAATTAGACAGGGGTTGAACTGTTACTTGTAACATTTTTAATGATTTCAAAGTTCATAAATATTTTGGAATATATGGTGACGTACACAGATGGCACTGTGAAATTGTGATTTCAAGTTATGTGCATAATTTACATGTTACTGATTTCGTATTAACATCTAACCAATCTAAATTCGGTTTATTTTTAGGAGCGATTGAAAACCGACACACAACCATCATTGAACCGATATAGACGCAATACAGAAGCTTTCTAATAAGAAACTAAAATAGAATCGTAACCAATACCTATATAGGTCAAAACCTTTATGGCTCATTATTAGCATATTGAAATATTTACAAGTACAATAAATAGTACAATAAATATTTAATAGTATTAGCATCAAGTAGTAACATGATTTTAATTTTTTCAGGAGTTAGACATTGCAGTTATTTTCAGTCGCTACTGTCTATATTATCAGAAAACTGTAAAGAACTAAATATATTTATTTATTTTATTCATGAACTTAATTAACAATAGTTTATTTTTAATTTTGAAAATTTTTTTTGTTGAATAATTTACCAAAATATATAAAATCTTTTTAATATTACAAATGTTTCCTTTTGAAACTTTATTAACCCCGTTCTGCAACAAAAATCGTTCATCAATAAATATATAATAATATATAATAATATATAATAATATATAATAATATATGATAATATATACTAATGTATAATAATATATCATACATATTGATTAATATTTACATACACCTATACAACATATTCCAAATTTCAAGAGGAAAAGGTTTAGCAATAGGAACATTCAGAAAATTACTATTTCATAACAAGTTGAAATAGCAGTACTTCTTTCCAAATTAATAACAGTTGCCAACGTCAATCCATCACGGTTGAGTTCAGGTTACAATAGAGCTAAGTACTTGCATTTTATTACAGGTTTCTTTGTTACTATGAAGTGCATGGCTAATTGGCAGTCATTGTGGGGACATTGATCAGCAGCTGTCGAAGCGCGTATACCCGCAAGTTCTAGTCGCATGTTTGGCTCTTACACGGTCTCCACAATAGATACATGTGTATTTAAAGTTTTCCAATCGCGGCCCAAGGTCTGCTTCTACCATTTAAGAGCACCTAGTCACGTACCGTGTCACAGAAATCGAGTTGCAATTAACTATCATGCTGCCTTAGACTCCTAAGGTCGATCACTTTCACTCATTACGTTAGGAAATTCGATCGTGCCTAGTGGTGCTGTTTCCTTGCTGTCCTATTAGTTCTATTTGTCGCCTAGAATACACAAAATGCATGAACAGCATAGGCCATACTATTTTTAGTCGATTAATCGAGAGGAATCGTCGTAGAAAAATCAGTTGAATTTTCTTAATGTGATTTCTCTCGATATGAAAACACTGATTAGTAATGCATCTTAGTTATCATCGGTGAACTGCCAATCTTTATGTATTTATGTCGAGTGTTGCCCAATAAGACGCAAAAATATAAAAATTCTACCAAGTTTAATGCTGATTTAATGCACTTCTTTGCCCAACGTAATCGTATGCTGGGGCAATAAACTTTTCTTTAATTCCTGTTTCAATTAACTGATCCTTAAAAATGCAGGCCTGTGTAAAGATTAGTTAACGCAATCTAGTTATTAGCAGGTGAGAGTTTTTGGCGTATATTATAATATGAGAATAATAAAATGCTACCATAAGTTTATCGTGGAAGATAAACAGCATGTTCGTGTGCATTTCCCGTATGAATAATTAAGTTTGCAAATAGTTATTTGGCTTCTATAACAAGATCATCTGGTTCTATGATCTTCATTTCTTAATTGTATTTTAAAACGTCTTAATTAGCTTTCACGGCATAGTTGTATTGTTATTGTCAAGTAAATACTTGTCACGTTTATAATAGTGACCTTAGCAAATATTTTGCCTGTTCCGAACTGTACGACGTCTAGGTACATGACGTCATAATTTTCCGAATAATTGTGTGTACTTCGATTTAACATTGAATTCCAGGAAGTACGCGAAAACAGAATCCTCTCGCGGTTTTCATTCGTAAACATAACTGCGAAGGAGGCCGTTTACTTAATCCTATTGACTACGCGTCCTTGACAAAAGTCGCGGCCGTAGACCGATTATTAAATTCGTGGAACTGATCGACGAGGGGTGGCAGTTAACGCGAAAATATTTTGTTCTCTACGCACTAGTCGCTGGAACTTATATACTTTTATGATTTATTTAACTCTTTTTGAAGTTTTAATATAACAGAAACTGAATTTAACCCTTTGCACTCGGAGGTTTTTTTCTAGAAATATTTTAACATTTTCTGATGAGATGAAGACGATATTTTGTGAAACTAACTCGACGTGAACGAAGGAAGCAGATAACAAAGACGTGCCGAAATTGAGCCATCATCACAGTCGGACCGAGCGTGGCGAGTGGACGTCTCCCCATGCCCCTCTTCACTTTTGAGCTACAGACCGGTTGGGTTCACGTCAGTAACGCATTGTACTTACTAGATTCCGAGTGTAGTGATTGATTTTCGAGTCACTAATCAATATAGATATAATAAACATTTACAGAACAGAAGCCCTCCAGAGATATAATCGATACATATTGATCAATTACTGTTAATTAATCACATTAATCACTCAACGCTTTATTGACAACGAAGCTTTACAATTAAGGAAACGAGAACCATTAATTTCTAATGATTTCAACTTAGAATTAAAGATCGAATGATTAATAGACTCAAAAGCCTTACCGATATTAGTATACACCGAATCAACTATTAATCCTTTCCCAATTACGTTTGACGTGTGCACTGAACCAATTATTTCATAGTTTTTGTTGTTTTTTCGAGATCGAATCTTATTTCAACCGTTATTGCTTCAAAACTAATTTAACTTCTGGCGAATTTCCCTTATTAACGTCAACTGACAACATAACATTCGCCGTGGTCACTGTGCATGTCATTGAATTATCTTATAATTTTACTGATAAAATCTCGAGACTTTCTCCTCGCTATAGATACCGTATCGTTTCGAACACTTCGGTCTAGCATAAATATATCGTTTGTTAAAAGCTACGAACGTAAGCGTTTGAATACTTTCATGAGCTGCCGTAGCTAAAAACCGGATTAGGACGAAACTCCATTCTACCACTTTGCTTTCCTAATTATATGCGTACTACGATCGCGGGGCATGTTTTCTTTCTTGAATGGTAAAAGCAGCTGCTGTACCTATTAGGAGCCCGCCCCGTTTGTTATGTTCGATTACTAGGTAAACGCGTGCGTTTGGCTTTCGATGTGTCTTATTATCGCAGAAGGTGTTTTCGAAAGGCATGTAGCGAGTACATTTAATGACCGTAAAATGTTGGGTCGAACGTAATCGTGCGACTATTGTTAATACGTCGACTGCTACGAGAATTTCGAGCGATTTCTATAGTACACCCCCATCTCCATTTACGTGGCACTCCTTTCACACGAATTACTTATTTACGCGGTAAATTGTAACACTACTTACTGTGCAGTTCTCGTGTCCTGAGTCAATTCTAACAGCTAAAAGGTCACAGGGACAAGAGGACTCTCTCATTCAGGATGCTCGAGTCAATTAGCTATAGAATAAGTTGATCTTAGTGATTGAGCCGCGTGATGAAGAAGCAGACAGAACAGAATGCGACGGTCTGTCAAAAATAAATTGTTTAATAAGAATTAAATTTATGTAAAATAAAATTTTAATAAAAGAAGCAATCACCAATCTGAATTACAGACACAAACACAAACGTACATTTGGATGACTTGATAAAACACATAAAGAAAAGAATATTGACGAACTGGCAAATAGAGTGGCACAACACAGTCTTCAGACACAGCAGAAACTCTTCAGACAATTACTTCCGCATATTCAAATATCTAAATAAATTATTCACGGTAGAACAGGTAGCACAGAGAATTATAGTGAAACATTTACTTCTCCATTGCATCAAACACAAAAATCCTCGCAGCAAACACAACGTCAACTCACTACTAACAGAACACCTCAACAAAGGCAAACTAGGAAATCTCATAAAATTTATAAAAGGACCACACCTAATGAAGAAAATAGTATAATGGAAACGATAGTCGCTAATAACCACAGCAGTTGATGCGATTTTAAACCTGATTTAAAAAAAAGAAATGTCTATGAAACATTCATCATGTGATTGGAACTAATCAATATACAGCCAACCCACGGATAACACGATTAATTGATTCCGTGTTATTCAAAACCGTGTTATACGAGGCTTATAAGTAGAAATCATAGAAATCTAATGATTTCATTCCGTGTTATGGAAAATCCTGTTGTTAGACGTTATAGATCTTTACATAAAAAAACCATGCAATTGAAATACAATATTATACAATTAATAATCCAGTCGTTGCAATTTTTGATCGTGTTATTCGAGATTTTGTGTAACTCAAACACCATGTTATTTGAGGATTGCTAGTACACCTTTTCAAAAATTAATTCTCTGATTTTCTGATTTCGAAAGCACTGACTTAACATTTAAAGTGTACTAAAACATGGAGTTAAACTACAGATTAAATAGTCTTACAATTTTGGAAGTTCAAGCTACGTTTTAGCATAATTTATAAAAGAATTTCATTTTTATATAAACTACACAGAATATGACCGTGTTGATATATTTAATGTTATTTGCTTGATTTCTTGTATCTTTTAATTATATTAATTTGTATTGCTCCCTTACTTTTTCCATGTTTTCTTGCGAAAGTCCTGCTCTGTTCTTGCTTAATACGTTTCTTTAAAATTCTGTAGCAGTATTTATTTGTCGATTACCGGTTTAAACTATTCAGGAGAATTCTCGTCGGCACTTTACGATATTCCTGTCAGAGGTGGTAAATAGCAAGCCAAGCAATTACACGTAGATCTTAGGAGATACAGAATTTTTTCGCGCTGGTTACCTTATGAGTAAATATGTTATTCTGTTGGAATATAAAACGCTTTTTAAGATTAAACTGAATCGTTTTGTTCATGACCAGAATTTTATAGAGCATTCTGTTTAGAACTCCGTGGAGTTGAAAGAATCAGTCTTTTGTGATTAAATAATATTAATAATTAACCAATATTATATTATATTATATTGTATTATATTATTAGGTATATAATATAATTTGATTTAGTAAAACTTTCATCATTTAAAATAAAAAAATCATGTTTTGATTCTTTCTAGACTAACTTTCATTATTCTCTAAACTAAAAAAGTTACCTATGACTGTCTATTACTGTCTTCAAGCTGCAAGAAACAGTAGACAAAAAAGCAATCATTATTTAAGGTAAGGCGGAGTGAGATGGCCCATTTTAGAAAAAAACTGTTACATTATATTTTGGATCCAAGTTTTTACCCGTGAGGCGTTTAACGTATCGAATTCCACCAGAAGATACTCGATTAAACTTAGATTCGTCGAAAAATAAAATTTTTCTCTAATCTTGACTCGTCCAGTGATGGTGTGCTTTAGCGAAAGCAATTCGGAGCTTTCGATTCTGATTACTGATTACTGGTTTCTTTATTTAGAAATCTGTGAAAATGTTGCTTTCTGTCCAGGATTATTCGTTAATTAATACACTTGCGTAAACTAACGAACTGTTGATCATGTTGATTACAACTGAAACGAAGAACTTGGCTGATTGCCAGCAAAAACACGGTCTCCGATTACAGCATTCGACGTATCATTAATCGCAATTCCGCCTTTTTTCCCACGTTACACGCATAACGATTAATGCCCATACCGTTTGCATGCAAACGCACTCGCTCCTATTTGTCAGTACCGGCCACTACTGGCCAACAGTTTTCACTGAAATTACTCGATTAAAGTGAATTTTAATGCACGGCTATCCGTGGTTTTTACGCAATAAATTCGGGACAGACGATAGTGATCTTGTAACGACTGTAATCACTAAAATTTATGTTTTATTTCAAACCGCTGTAATTGTTATTATTAACAACGTATCCGAAATAACTGAAACAATTTACTGTTTAAACGAATTCTAATAAACTGAAGGAACATAAACTTCAATAATAAAATAAAAGTGATTCGTTATTTTAAGTTACAATTTTGTTGTAAGTTGTGACAGTGAAAGTGCACAGGTCAACATTTATGTAATATTTAGCAATTACTGGCGTAAGTATTCTGAAAGATTCAATTTTATTCACTTTTATATTATATAAAATTTTGTTATCTTTTATATCGCATTCATGTTTTATTTCTGACCCTGAGACATGAAAGTCAACCACTTATTGACCATCGAGCCACAGCAATTATTGTTGGAGCAATATCATGCTCTTGAACGGTATCTAAAACACCAAGCGCCTGTAATAAGAGTTCAATGCACGATTTATTCCTTTCTCTTCCCACGTTACTTTTCAGGTGACGTTTATTGCAACCACTAATGCCATTGTTGTGCTACACGATTCTTTCACCATTCTTCGATTTGTTTTGTTTTAAAAAAAGTATGCAAGCATATAGCGATAATCGTAGAGGAAATAGAATTTTATAAATAATACTTTTTATAGAATGCCGGTTCCGCTTGCAAATCTTATTTCATTATATTCACTTATGTTCCCTTAATGACATTGAGTAAATACCTATATAACGGTTAAACCCTTTGCACTCCAGTGGCACATTTCAGTCGCCATTTGAGTTGACCCACGAAAATTATAAAATTGAGAATTCAATCATTTTTATATAATGTATCAACACATGGAATATTGAAATAAAGTAATTATTTGTCTTATTTTATGCAAAATATTTCTTTATGTTAATTGTAAGAAATATCATTGATATTTTATCGGAAAATAATGAATATTTGTCGGAAAAGATATTCTCGAGTGCAAATGGTTAATTTATCATTCTTGTAGCTTTTCGTTTAGTTAAATGGAATTATACGCTTTTGTATTCGTGATATGTAGATGTTCCTCTTTCGTATAGACGATAAAAAAGTAAAGTGGTTTATCAAAAGTGAAAATAATGTAGGTAAATGAATACAAGCGACATAATGACTTTCACAATTGGTACACCTTGTTAATTAATGTGCATGAATAACTTTCTTTGGTGCTGTTTTTTATATAAAATAAATTCAAGGAACGATTTATATTTTATTATTAACAAATGCAATATACAAATGGTTAGGTTGGAAAATTATTAGATATAATTTGATGATAGATTGAATTGTTCCTATATAATAGAATAGAATTTATAATAAAGAAATAAGTGTTAATTATAATAAATTTTATTGGAAAATGTTATGCATTTATTGTACGTATCATGGTTCTTTTGTTGAAGAATATTCATTTTAAATTTCGCGAGTTAAGTATGTACAGTACTATTATTCAATTTTTGAGTATACATAAATTAGAAAGTGTATACTAAAGACCGCAAATAAACGAAATTTACTCGTCTGAAGCAGTTGATGTCGAATTACGTTGACAGGCTAGCAACGGACTTTGTGTTTTCAAAGGAAGTGATAGAAGAATACAAACGCCGTGTGTGTTATATATCAACCAATTAACATTTTGAGAAAATCAATCTTTCTTTTCGTTTTCGTTCATTCACTCACTGTCTATTTATAAGCTGAAAACAGATAGGCCATACTACAACGAAATATTAATTAATGAAATTTAACTGAAACATATTGTTCTACTACAATATTCTATTATTATAAAATATAAAAATTATTATAAGGAAAGAAAGAAATAACAGTAGGTTATCAATTGTTTCCACACAATACCACAGCTCGCGAAGCGAGAAAATCAGTAGCTTCACAACGAAAAAAAGCTTTCGTGATACCCTATATAATTACCGCATTAGTTATAATAAATCATAGACTCTATGATACTCGAAACACGAATTCTCGACTTCGCTAATAATGAAACTAACGTTACTAACGGAAACCGAAGTTTACGCCCCGTGAATTTACTTCATAATAAGTAGCGAATTAACAATTAGTGTCGTCTCATGCCGCGACTGCCCTGTAATTTCGAGGCAACGGCACGAACGGCCACGGTATTACGCAGGTCTCTTTGTTTTAAGGAAGTGCTTGCACGGAATAACAGTGTCCTTGGTGGTCTCGATGGTACTTGACGTGATCTTACCTTGTGGCATCGTACAACAGGTAGAACGGCCATGCACAGAAGGACAAGGGCACGAATCATTTTGCATAAAAATATTCCTGATGGGCTGCGTCACATCGCTGAAACAAAAAAACGGAATTTATTAATATATGGAACCGTCAAACTGGACGATGCGACGCACAGTGGTGCCTTTTGACAAAAATATGGCCAAAATTCATCATTTTAAAGGACTTTCGTCAAAGTTGATACACTTGTGCTCTTGGAGTTGCTAAATCTGAATATTTTACCAAAAATATAAAATTCAAAATTTTTAAGTAAATTTTTGTAAAAATTCATTGTTTTTTTAACTTCTGACCAAAATTATGCAAAAAGACACTAAATGTACACAAAGAAACACTGGCTTTCAATTTTTTCTTTCGTTAGAACAAGGTTCCAGGTTTCACATATACCAAGCAGATTGTGTCACTGTTTAGAAAAGTGGAAATGACAACTGATTATATACGACACAATGTAATTTTATATTATTACGTTTATGGTATTCTTAATTTTCTGTGATTAGAGCTCACTTTGCAGGCGTAAAACGGAAATTCTAACCTACGTTTCGCGACGAAACGATATTAAAACTCACTTCTATGTTTTCACAATATCTACGAAATAAATTGATTCATATTTTATGTTTAGAGAAATATTTTATTTAATTCAATACATTTATATTAAAAAAATGGACTGCATAATATTTAGCGGAAATTTAATAATATTATTTTACATAATAGCTTAAAATACATTATCAATTATTAATTTTTCAACAACTATTAAAAAATGATCTTTTACTAAGTTGTTGTTCAATGCCAAAATAAAAAGAAAAGTATTAAAACTAACCTGTACGATGTTCCTACGCATGTTTAAAGCCAGAATTTACGGTATCAAAGCGACGAAAGCGTATCAGATACGAATAGACAGCCTAGAACACGCGATGACCCGGAATGTAAGCCATATTGCATCGAATTAACGTCGATGTTGCTCATCAAAACGGAAACTTTTATCCATGACATCGTAAGAACCGCGATACAAAAAAGCTGCCAGAATGGAAGAAGAAAAGTCTATAACTAAAAGAAACGATCTATAACATATAGCATGTGACTATGTAGTTCAATATGCTTTATATAACCTGAAGTTGCAGATATCTGAAAAAATCTTTAGAATTTCTTCAAAGAATTGAGAAATTGTTTAAGTATTCAGTAATTGCATAACAATTATTACATAATACATGCAATAATAATTATAGATTATATGAGAAGTATTTAAAGTTTGAGTTAATTTTTTGTTAAATTATCTAAGTATTGAAGAAGAGATTGAAAGCTGTTGAAGGTAATACAATTTTGGACTATTAATTGCAATAGATTGCAAACGTATATAAAAATATCATTTTTTAGTTTAATTCATTTAATCCCAAAAGTTTCTCTTCGGTATTATAGAATAGGAAACATTATTTAATTTTCTTATATCGCAATTTGCATAATAGCCATTAATACAGACGCAGATATTGAAATTATAAAGTATATATGACTACACCAATTATCTACCTGTTATAACGAGGTAGTACTTATGTAGTTGAATTCATGGTATAAAATTGCTTCCTGAATCAACGGTATCATGTATCATAATAAATGCAGATTTTAATAGTTTATTAATAAAGGAAAATTATTTCCCTATGGCTAGCTCCGTTACTAAGGTATCCGAATATATTACTACGTTAAATTTACTGTACGCTTTTTGGTAAATCATTACAATTAACACTATTCCACGTTTCAAAACGAAGTCTGCTAATATTTTGCGTGTCTCATTTTATATATGTGGGTTTCTTTAACATTAGGTTTACGGCACGCGTCAATTTGACGCACATTAAATTTTATAAACATTATTTGGTAAATGTTTACGTTAGTTTTGATCGATGCAATTGCACGAATATTATCCTAATTGTATATTTTTAAACTTCTCATTTCTAAGATCCAATTGAACAAACATCAACTCTTCTAGGAACAATAGAATATAAACTTAGTGTTAAACATTGAATCCCTGCCCTATGATTTGCTTATCAAGTATGATCAATACAATTACTTTACCATTAATAATTGATAGGAAAAAGAGAAAAATTCTGGACATATTATATAACTATGTTTTCTCTAAAGTATAACTATTGATAACAAAAAAATAATGCTCAATTTGAATTCAAAAGTTGAGTGGTATTTATGCTGGTTAAGTTTTGTTTAAAATCTTCGTCGCGAGGCTCACATGTTATAAGGTAAAGGGTTAAAAGATAAAATAATAATGCAAATTGAAAACAAAATTTTATAAAATTAAAATAAATATAAGATGTACATACACTATTATTTTTCTATATATTTACTGTATATTATAAGTATTATATTAAATGTAAGAAATCCAGAAATTATACATTTTTTATTGATAAACTGTTAAAACTATCACTTATTGTTAGTTACGAAATAACTGTTATTTTATGATTATTGTCTGTTCTGTTCCGAGAACACTGTTATAAAATACTGTCGATTAACTGATTGTGAAACTTCCTTCGCTATCTTTTTGCCTAAATAAGAAAATTTTATTTTCTTGAAAGTAGGAAAGAATTCTGGTTAAACATGAACGTTAATTTCGTTCTGAAGAAGTTAAAGCTGTGATAAACAGACTTCTTGAGAATGTTGTGATAGATTTAAAGTTGAAACCTTGAACTGTTCGGTGAAGTTTTATTATGTTTACAAATATGTCAAATGTGCTTTCTCTTTTACATTTGTTCTCTTTGATTTTCTTAAATAATACTAACGAAAAAAATATTCCAAAGTTTTGTATTTTAACCGTAATTATCTGTTCGAAAGTTCTTACACATATGACTCTTTCAAATTTTTATTAACCAAATATAAAGTAATTGTTCAAGTTGACATTTTAGAATAGAATTAAACGATTCATATATGAAGTTAACACAAAAGTCACAAAATGCAATAAAAAACCATTATTTGTAAAATTTAATAGTTTCATTCGATCCCTGCTTAAAATTGAATATCATAATAACCAGTACAAGCAGTGACATATATAATCGATATAAATATTATTTTGTGCAATAGTTCAATGGCGATTTTGAATTATTTCTGTTATTTTTACCGTGTGCGATGTAGTATTATTATGATGAAACAGAATTCCTTTGCGAATCATTAATAATGGTTGTTTTCCTACGTACACTACGTCAACCGTATTTCTCTGACCCTGCATCCAACGATTACCATTTATTCCGATCATTCCGACATTTTTTACTCAATCAGAAAGAATTCGACGATAAAAATTGTTGGAAATTAGTAGTGATTAAATTTTATAATTCTAGATATTAATAATTGTTTCAATAGGGAAAATGAACTAAAAGATAGAAAACGATTATAGAAAGCAATGATTAATATAATGATAATTTAAAATAAACATAAATATTAACATTTTGCATGTGATATAAACTATACAGTACGTATATATAATACAATACTTTATGTCAATTCTACTTGAAATGTGAACGAAATTATTTTAATTTTAAGAAGTTACGTATATAATCGAGAGATCCTTCAATTGCTTAAAGAAATTTATAGATTTTATTAAAATTGCTGTTATTGGCTAGAAATATTTATAATAATCACTAAATTGTACTGCATGAAAAACATTGAAAAAATGATAACAATTGCAAACATTTAACCATTCGCAAATAACAGAAGTTCTTTTTGTTTTAAATACAAGTAACATATCCTTGAGTTATATAACAAATGAATCATTTTCCATGAACTACATCCTTAATTACGTTTATCGTTCCACATTTACAAACGAGATCATCACAGTAGAACGTAGATTATTCGAACTAATTGAGACGAGTTTAAATCAATCAGAAATTAAACAGTTTGCAAATGTACGTTCACTACCATTTTTCTGTGGTAAGACAAAATTTGTACTAAACAAACTTTATTTAATTAATACACTCTTTTAACCGAGTAATAATAATACTATAAACTATGTCCGAACGACGAATATTTTAAAACAATGAATTTTAATTTAAACTTTAAAGGATTAATTTAACTTTCATTATGAAAAATATAGGAGTTCAAAAGCATCGCTCATTAAAATTTGTGAAAATTGCTTTTGGTGAAAGTGACTGAATTTATTTTAATCATATAGAACTCCTCTCTTATACTAACTTATATAACATATTTATTATTAAAAAGAAATTTTAAGAGCAATTCAGAAAAAAGATTAAAAAATGCTACTTCTTATTTACATATACATTTAGTTCAGAATTATGGCATGATACTCTTCAGTGTTATATAGTTGCCTTTCTATTGTTGGTTTTGCAATCACCGAAGCTCAACTCTAGATAAGAACATAAAACCAATTGTAATTTTACTGACAGATGGCCTAACTTTACTCTCTTATACAGGAATATAATTTGATTTTGTTCTATCCCACAATCACACCCACTTATTAATTTCCATTTGAGAAGTACGTTTCAAATAGGCACCTACATCGAGACGTGTTTTCTTTACTCCTTATTGCAGTATCCCTATTTTTATACAGTACAGGAAAATTACAGAAGAATATTGTACACTCATAAATAGTTTATACAACGCTCCTTTTATTTGTTAAACTAAATATTGTCAAAGACGTCATTATAAGTGAAATGAATATTTCGACGAAATACGGTTTGTATTTAGTATCTTTTTTACTTAGATATATGGCGATTCAGTGGTGTCATGGAATATATAGGCTATATTGCAAAATTTTTTTCTTTATTAATGTTACTGTGAAATGTAGAATTATTTGGATATACAAACTAGTGAAAAGGAATTAGATTATAATAAGACAAGATGTAAAATTGTATGATTCTTATTCTTTTGTTATTAGTGAATTGAATAAATTTGTTAGTACTTATTTCCTGTATAAAATCCAGAAAATATATAATTCGTATTTGTAATATGAAGTAAAATGAAAATAAGAATACGAATAACAAGATTTTTCATCATGAATATCGAACAACAAATTAAAATTTAAATTAAAGGCGATTGGTTTCTCCTTATGG